AGTACGCATTCCGTATGAACCCTGTGGGGCTGGAGCCCGTAATTCTACTGTGGTTAAGATTACTCTGGAACGAGGGAAGGTACCGACCGGCATGGCTGACTTACTAGACGTTATATAGCGTCGTTCACTTAGACCACTCAAGTTCCCCCACTACTCCATTGTAATCAGTACGTAATCCAGACTACGTATGGTGCCACAATCTAACTGGTGGCTTGCATTTGGTACGACCGTGAGGAGGCAGCCCTGTCCTCTGCACGGCAGTAATGTGTCGGCCAGTGGGTAGTAAGCGGTGCTATATCAGATCTAGTAACTTAATCACGTCGGTCGCTACCATCCATTGCGGCTCATTGGTTTCATCCACAGACTGCTAATAATCAAATGTACAATGCGGATGATTCCCGAAGGGATGCAACGGCTATACAGTGCTTTTCTGGACGTGTGCTGATTATCTGACTGAATCTAGATTGAATGCTTTCTTACTTATGTGATGAAATCCTCTTCATGGATATTCATTTGGGTAAGGAAAGCACTCATTTTTGGATAGTAATCATTATTGTCCAATTGTTAACACTGATAGAAATCAGGCATGACGACAGTACTAACTGAATGATGGAAGCAAAAACTTATCTCGTGACTCAACTTAGGCTCGACCTCTAATCGTTCACGGGTCAACGCATACTTGCGTTCACTCGGTTAAAAGTGACACCCTGTCAGAAGTCTTAAACGAGTCCCTTCAATTGGCCATCAGGGGACCGTTGTTGGTGTACGGAGCGTGTCAGTCAAAATGCGAACATGTACATCGCAGTCATATCGATCGCATATACAAGGAAGGGCGAACAAAACGAAAAATTTGGCCACAATACTTGTCGTTCCCATGAGAGGTGGGCAGCGTGGGCGCTGACTGAATGCGCAAGAGCACGATTCACCTCCCGCTGTCCGTCTGTCATCTCACTCACTCGCTACTCTGAGTTAACTGTCAGGTGTGTCCCACTTGTACAACCACTGGCTTGCGATGTTGTGTCTACCAAGGTTCGCATTCACTTCACACGTCCTACCCGAGACATGACCATTTTGATGTTCTGGGACATCGGTTCTCCTACATATGGGGCCACGAACTCATTTTTAATGGAAGAACTTACTTACGGACCCCATGAGAAATCTTAAACCACAGGACTAGGCTTTAACAGATTGTGAATAAGGCGGCACAGTATCTGAGATGTTTTCCACTTCTAGCAAGCGTGTATAATGAATGAGACGGAGTGTCCCGAAAACGTCCATTACTGTACACTGAATACACACGTGTGTTCGCTTAAGTTAGCCAAAGAAATGAAAGATGTGCAATGTCGGTATGAAAAGCAATGTACATTAGTCTATAATTTGAGGGATGAAATTGTTTCTAACATGCAGTGCCAACTTCTTTGATGTTTAGTGTTGTTGAAGAATACCGCAACCTCATATCTGTTTGAGCTTAAAGTCTTTTGCGGTACTTTGCTTTGTGTGTAATGCGAAACTGCACTTTCACACGGATAAATTGTGAAAAATGGGAGGAGCATGGCGACAGACCTGTTCGATATGCCAGAGAAAGTGTCTTTTGTTTTACACCAGAAATTAAGCAGCTATACTTTGTGAAACTCCCGCTGAAGAGAAGAATCGGATCCCAACCACTGCTGCATTAAAATCCGATAATGAATGTTTCCGTGACACAGTTATAGATGCGAACTGCTTATCTTTAGTTTAGCTGTTCCAATGCTAAAATGCAAATAAACAACTAAACAGGAATTGCACAGCATATCTCAAATTTGATTACTTTATTAAATAGAATTTTGAAGGAACTTTAAAATAAGGTACACAAACCAGCCACCATTTTTAACATAGCAATCTCGTCGAACATCTCCTTCTGGACTTCCCTAAGTGGGATTACACCAATGGGCTTTACTTTCCGATTGGACGTTCGCGGAGGCTAGCGACCCAAAATGATCGTAAAAGGGGCCATATGATTCACCTCTGAAGCAACTTCTGCGTTGGGAGAGCCTTCGTGAACGAAGAATGATCCACCTAGCGTCTATCAAATGCGTTACAGCTGATCACCACACTACTTTCTGACATTTGCCAGCTTCGTTCACTGAAGTTTGAAGCTACCGCCAAATCCGGATTGCTTCTTGGAAGGAGTTTGTTTTACCTTTACCAGTCACTAAACTAATGTAGACTGTCAGCTAATATTTAACAAAATTTCACTGCAGGTTTCTCGTCAGGTTGTGATTACGTTCAAAACCTTCTAACGGAATTACAACCTTTCTGGAAATCGCGCTGACCCCGAAGGTGTTTCCTGGGACCACACTTTGAGAAACACTGCCCATGGGCAATGGTGAACTCCTGTCCTAACCAATAAGTTCTGACTAGTATAATTTTAATAGTCCTTTAACTCGTGTACTCATCTCTGGAACGATTAACCCACGTCATAGATCTATGCTAGTAACTACTTTCATCATGCCGGTAGTAGAAGTAGCCTCACCGATTGTGGTGCTACTCTTTGATTCGAACGCTCACCTGGGATGACAGCGTCCAAGTTACTAATGCAATCTGCGCTACAACGGCGACGTCAATGGATACCGGCTGACCGCCCAAGAACGCACACCGAAGACCGTGGCTGCCACGTGCACCAGAGAGAGGCAGGTCATGGATATGCTGCGAACAATCACTGCCAGTTCTTTATTATTCAACCCAAAATTTGCATCGTGTGACGCGCGTACATTTCACTATTCTGCAAGAACTGACTATCCCCTGTCACCATGATTTGTCTGTATCTGGTGTTATGTAGCTATTGCTGTGACTGCTTCCATTAGTCGGCATGATCTCTCTTCGTCATAAATGCTTTGGCTCGCAGGCCCCCACAGTTTTTGCAGTCTGGCCACTTCGGAACACAAAGAGTGCTTTCGGACGCGTAACACACAACTTCACCTACCCGAGCTACTTTGTTTGCATTTGGTTAAGCACCGCCTGTATCACATTGTTCTCCCTGCAAATGTGACACGCATATAATAGCGGATTTGTCTGAGCAACCAAGTAACGAATGTACACTACGATTGGAAATTCCACTTGTCAAGAAAGTGACCTTACCACCCACGTGCTCCGCCCACTGATAATTCTATCTCGAGCAAGTCCATATATTCGTTGCTTAGCTTGCACCTTTCCATGAGGTCATGCGTTAAAAAGTACCCAAAAGGGCCTATTTTCAGTTAACAGGGTTTACAACTCTGCAGTATTATGCCTTTGCTTTCTATGCATGACCCACCTCTGGCACCAGTGCGAATTCTGTAACTAGGTTGGTTCCATTCCGGCTGCCACACGGAACAATGCTAGTAACTACGTTTAGATAGGTTATTCTCAACTCTTTGGATATTCACCGTCTTGATCAAGAAAGTCATCCCATACCAAACGACAACGAGTACACCCATCCTTCTAGAGAGTCACCTCGTACTGCTCGTGATTGTTATTTGGAAGCTACAAAGGAGAAAATGGAGGATAAGCTCCCACGTGCTTCGTTCGCATCACCCTTTAGCAACTTATCCAGCGTATAATTTTGTGCAGGCACACTGCTTTATCATCACTACTAGTTGATTAATCGGCTGATAAGCGTTTAATGCTGTCATGTACTTTCTAACACGATGGTACATTTGCGCTGAGTGATACGCAGTCTCCTAAGGCCTGTTGAAGATTCCCTACGCAGCTAATGGGAGTTACGTGAAGAGTTCACACCCGAAACTAAGCTTAAGCTTTATTTTTTTGCATGGTGTCGTTTTTGACATGCAAATGTCAATAAATTAGATCTTTTTAAGTTTGAGTGCATGTGTCCCACTTTGTTTGATTCGCTCAGTTCTGTTATTCTGCTGCGCATGCTGTATCAATTTGCGATTTTGTTATCCTTCGAATTGTGTGTTGGTTGTTTGAAATCCCGTGGTGTGGGTGCTCTTGATGTGAATGGGAACAAGGTGCCCACCTGTCTATTGCCATCCAACTTGTCTATACTGGCTCCAGGAAAATGCGAATCGTTGCTGGGTGGACTGGGTGCACGGTCCTCGTGTCCGTGCTAATCGCAAATAGTGTTCTCAACCAATTACCGCCTTGTGTACGTCTTGTACTCATGATTTTCTAACTAGATAGATATGAATGCTGCTGTGCAGTTTGAAATAATGTGGGTTGGCTCCATTGATGAAACATTGCTCCCATCCACATACCTCCCGATCTTATTCCTTCGGGTTTACACTGCATATGGGGTATGCGGATGGAGCTGTGGGTGGTTCAGCCTAAACCAACCAAGCTTCCTCTGTAAACGAAGGCGTCCTGTGGCTGTGCCCATGGAGACCGCAGTGACAGGCAAATTCGGAACCGAATGCCACCAACCATATAGTGGATCAAATGGTCCACGTATGTGTGGCGTATGCCCATTCAGCGAATTTACTGACAACTCCGTTCTATCTGTACTTTCTTCCGGATGTTTACTAAACTTTTAATCAGCATGTACGTTAGCAAGACGTGCTTCGACCCACACTCTATACAAATCATTTTCCTGGATAAGCGAAGTCAACTAACCTGCCAACCTTGGTACGCGAAGTCTATGTGCATTTCTTTTGCTTCCATAACCAGTGGCAATAGTTGAAGTGGTAGAATAACGGTTTGTTACCGTGTACATGACTGATCGGTGTAGTTAGTACGAACGTTGCCTTATGTCTTCCAGTCTTTGACTAGAACACACCCCACAGCTTGCATGGAATTACATGTTGTTTTCCTATGCCCATCTTCTTAGATCGCTCGCGTGTGATACTAACTAGAAATTCGATAGCGACCAAGTGACCATGAAATCATATTTCTGGATTCTTGGCAGCCATTTTTCCCATTGCCATCCATACCTAGATTTTTTAATGCTACCCTTGGCTATGACAATCCAGTTGTTATATTTCTTGTCCTATATCTTTTTTTTCCTTCCCTACTTCTAACTGCAGCATGCGAACTTTGGACTTGAGATCCAGGCGTTCCGAATATGATGCAGACCAGAAGCTTAGATCGGAACCTGATTCAGCCAAGTTTGCACGAATTCCTCTTGGTGGCGCATCAAGTTCAAGCTGTGGTTGGCAACCGCTGAAAGTGGAGTCTGGCGGTAGGTCAGAACTCCTACCTAATGAACCACAACGGGCACCTCGGTTGTACACAATCGCTGGAGCACGCACAAGCGTAGCTGAGCAGGGTTACCCGCATGAGGTTCCTTCGGGTATGGAAGATGTTACAGCTAAGAATTACCAGTTCAACCAGTTTAGTTCGAGCTTCGAAGGCAACTCTGAGTCTGGTCCGATCGGTACTCGTCTTAGTCCAATTGGGAGCAGCTGTTGGTCGTCTGAGCAACATATTTCACCCGATCTGGCATCCCTTGTCAGTGGCAGTACGAACTCATTCTCAGCCGGACGATCCACGAGTTCTGGAAAACAGCCCTACGTCACCAGCTCCCTTACCCAACACCTGCAGCGTCAGCATTCAGGTGTTTATTCCGGGGTAATTTTGTCACACGAACCATATAGCATCCAATCTGCATCTCAATCTGTTCGGTCTGCCCCACTGTGCATTACCGCCAATCAGACCCATCCCATATGTGCCAGACAACTCACAATCGATGTGTCGGACTCCATCAACGATAACCCCACTCCGCCCTCTTTGCTGGTTAGTGATCCGGAGGAGGAGGCGCACAAACGAATACTACAACTGTGAGTTATGCCTTAGACTGTAGGCAACAGACGCAGAAGGAGTTCTGCTTGAAAAGCATTATGAGCTAGCCTTGGAACACTGGCTTTTGTGAGGTTATCACTCGGGAAAATACTCGTTGAACTGCGTATGTACATTCGCCTTGCGTGTAGTACTAACACGCTGGCACACACTGGCATACAGGTCCTAACGGGACTTACATTTCAAACTGCCAATTTCCTCAGTTTCGTACATGTTCAGGTACGCACGGTTATTCACAAAATAATTTAACTACAGTACCTTGTTCGTTTTCTCCATTTTAACAACACTTTCAAATTGTTAGGTATATCTGTAGGGCCGGGTATCGATGTGGATTGTGGGTTTTCCCCGACATGAACGATCAGTCTGCGAACATCTCGTTGTCAGTCTAGGCAACATCATCAGTGTGGCCTCAAGGGTCTGGTTCGCAGAGCCTAATAGGCGAATTCCGGATTCAACGACCAGTTGATCGACTTCTGCTTTGAATGCAAGCGTTCAATAAAGTCGCCTGCTTGCTAGCTTTTTGTTCTGCTGAGCATTTTTGTGTGCTCCAGGTCGAATTGGTGGCTTTCAGCATCTATGTGCACGAACATCGGGAATCCGTATACTCTGATCTTCGGACTAGATCCTTAATTACGACAGCAATCATCCGGCAAGCAACGAGCGCAGCTGTGTGAGAAGCCTCTTCAAGCGAGCACGAACACTGTGTAGCAGAGCAGAGTTGAGGAAAGTCGAGGAAGACCATCTCTTCACCTTGTTCCAACGGAAATCTTACCCAACAGGCTTCATTCTGCCTTGTCTGGCACCACAAAATGCACCACAACACACCTCGACAATTGCAGCAGTTGGAATGAAAGCCACCTAGCCTTATACCAACTGCATTTCTGAAATGGCAACGCGACTTTTATTGCCTTTTGGTGTATAGGTTGCCCACCAACCAACGGAGGCAATTCGAAGTAAACACTTCAAGGTGGAAGATAAACTTAGCAGGGAAGAAATAACTGATGTGAGCTACAATCCCTGCTGCCGTAACCGTAACAAATACTACACAGCGGAGAAGGAGGAAGCTTAGTACAGGGCTACCTGAACCCCACTTAACTAATCGTCGTCCTAATCAGAACTCCCTGATGTCGTGTGTATGGATGCTGAAAAGCACCGATTCGACCTGGAACACACCCAAATGCTCGAAAAAGCGAAAATCCGGCAACTGCGTGAGTTCATTGAATGCTGGCGTTCAGATGAAAATTCAGCCAATATGGCCTTGAAGCTAGATTTCGCTTACCAGGCTCTGTGAACTAAGCCTTTGAAGTTGCACTGATGCTGTTGCCTTGTCTAACCACAAAACCTCTGCAAACTAAGCGTTCATCTCGGAGAACAACCCAAAAACCACATTAATGATTTACAGAAGCAGCTTGCGCCGTATTTTATGCACACAAAATTTCTTGTATTCTTGTATCCTCGAGCAATGTTGTTGTTGTTGTTGGTACTGGTGGTGATGATGGTGGTGTTGTTGGAATGTGCGTACCGCGCTCTGGTTTACTTTACCTTCGTACAAAAAAATTTGAAGTAGTATGAATCTTTAACGGTGAGCAGCTATGCCCATATTTTCTATCACTGAGGTTAATTACTGAATTGAGATATCTCATTAAATTCCACTGGGAACATAACCCGAGGAAGCGAAGCCACAATGAATATCCAGTAGGTTTGGATCCATTATTTCATAATATTCATCAATATGCCTATGCACTCGTTTAAAGTAGCCCGATAAGGTTGCTCTGAATAATGATCAATTATACCATGACCTAAAGACGGGCTTCACTCGTAACTGCCAAGGCTCAACCCATCTTAATCTTCTTGATCGACACAGATGACCGGTGCTCATATGACTGGCAAAATTAATTGGTCTGCTCATGCGTGTATGATGCATCGCATTCTTTACTCACGTTGATCATTAAATGATGGATCTGTTTCTTCATTCCTTCTCACCTACTTAGGAGTGACTTGTTCGGGGGACCCGTAACCAGATATCCGGAAAAACCACATGTCTTTTCTCCTCTCTGTTTTGGTTCCGGAGAGTCATCTCTCCAAATGTGGGGTTCATGAATTGAATAGCTCTAGGCCATGTTTCCAGCTCTAGGCCATTTTTCCAGCCGGTACCCAGAACCAGGTATCCAGCTCAATTTTTAACTTGTGGGTTTGGGTAATCGCATTTAATGTTCCTACGTTTACTGGTCGAGCAAGCGCTCAAAACAATAAAAGATTACTGAAAAATGCTTACCTCTGGCTAAAATTATGTTGTTTTGACACGTGACCTCTAAAAACCGTGATGCTACTCTCGATTAAGAAGATGCTTCCTCATGGCCTCGAAGCTTGTTGTATTCGGATTGAGCATACTTGTATTGCTTCTCCACTCCCTTGCGTTTTACAGCTATGTGTTTGCCTCCAGATGCATCGCCTACCCCGTCTTGAACCCTGTTTATCCGGGGCCAAGCAGACGCTATCTGAAGGTGACGAAAGACTATTTACTCACTTTGAAGGAACGTATTCAGGTGAGTTGCGCTTGCAGCGTACTTTGTTTCCAGTAAACACCACATTCTATGAGCGATCATGAGCCGCGAATACTCGCAATCAATCAGCTGAGTGCGTTACATGAATATATGGACATTTGTGAGCACTCTTTTGTGGGCTTCAGTTACAAAACAATGAAACAGTGAAGCTGGATTTCAGTGCGCTAATCTAAAACCTCTTAAGCCCCACTGTCGTCTCTGGTGATTGCTGCGATATGTGGGTAAACTCATGTTTACCAAATTAATCTTGTGTCTACAGACGACTGCAAGCAGCAGATATATTCAACGATGGTTATGAACCTATCAGTCCTCGGCAAGTGAAGGAGGTCATTTTCAACTTCAAGAATTCTTTTAATATTGTCCTGGTATTTGGTAAATTGTGCCACCTACAGAAATTATGAGTACAAATCATCTTAGTTTCACTGTTTCACCAGCAAAAAATCAATTGCTTGCAACACTAGCAATCCTCCCACTCAAGTTTAAGGCATAAAGATGACATTTTCTAACGGCGTTTAATGTCGATAAATACTTGCTCATTTTCGACCGATTTCAGGCTGTTGACTTCAGCCCATTGTTTTCGTTCAGTTGAATTTCGAACGGAAGTACCAACTGACATTTCTGGGGTGGAGTAATTCATGAGATTTTAAGTATTCGATCCCTATCACAGGATACGCATCAACTGGGGGGATGATGCAATTTGCGTTTTGCCGTGGTGGGAGCAACATCTGTTGGCTTAATCGTCCGTTTCCGGTAGCAAGGGTTTTGCATTCGCTTCGATTACAATTGCTTTAAACGATGAGTGGACGGTGCCGGATACCGCATTCGTTGTCACTGCCTGTTTTATTTGCTTTAAACGTCAGAGCAAATCATGCATACTACTGTCGGCCGGTGGCCGAGTGGTCGGCACGTTTGCTTTCCAAACATAAGGTCACCGGCTCGAATCCGCGTAGGGGTGGGCGTCCTCGCGGTATACTCAGCCCGCGCGCGTCTAGTGGTGGTCGCGCGGCAGCGAAGCGCCGTTACGGCGTATAAGCTGACACCTTTCTTCTTTTTTTCTTTACTGTCGCTGTCCAGAACAAAGTACCGACAATTTCGCCCATTGTAACGGTGCACTGATGAGAACACTCAGTTTGCGTTGCTAGGCAATGGACAAATGTTTTGATCTCATGTGAGGTTATCGAGGAAATGATGGCGTCATACGTCTACCGTTTCGCTACGAACTAAGGAACGGTTTCCAGGAGCATACGCTGACACAAACATACCACCAAAATGGACAACGCTCAACTTGAGTATCCATTGTTACAATAGCATTTAGAGATTCGACTCTGCTGATAGGACTCCCTGAGTTTGAAGGACATATATCCCTCCTCGTTTCTCTCCAAATCAGAAAGCTGAAACTATCTTGCGATTGCAGTAATCCCATTAAGATCTTCCGCTTATTGTATAATTCAGCAAAACAGTCATTCTATTTCTAAGTGGTTTTGTACTGATCGCGGCAGACGCCTAAATCGGGCCTGGGTGATTCCACGACCCAGTTACCCACAAGGCATTCCACTCCCGAAGATTCGTTGAAAGTTTGCAGCGAATCAATGCGTCTAGCTCTGAATGTAGTGAGGTTTGCGTTAAAAATACCAACTCAGTAACAGACAGCATAGCCAAGCTCCGCTGAAAAGTGGGCATTAACACTGCCACACTGAGAGGTACAGAAGAATCTTGGACAGTGACCTTTTAGTGCTAAGGCAATCATGTGAATGCTAGGTGTTACTCGCTTGCAACGTTGAATACAACGACTAGTTGCATCCGTCAAGTGGATCTATCACTACTCAGAGCGGAACCGGAATTGTTGGGATGTCAACCGAAGCCTCTACTCCCAAGTTACCAAGTCGCGAGAAATGCTTGCCGCAACGGTTAATTGCTAATTGCATGAGTTCTTTTAAAGCAATTCTTGCGTGAATGGATTGCGACTGTGATTCGCTTTGAAACGACTCTCAGTCAATTTAGTCACTGGAACGATATCTGAAATCGATAAATGCTAGATTTTACCCGGTGGAGCCATTATACCCTACGATCGGTTTCGTAATCGTTCGCACTTCTCAGGTGAAGATAGCAGACACTGCTGCTTGGGTGCTTCAACACCACCGTTCCAATCAGTCCTTTACCGTTGTGACGAGTGTTGCCCTGGCTGTTTGACGAAGTACTAGATGCATTGTCTGGCAGTTGCAACTTCCTGAGTTCGGGTCGCGGCACTTCCTGACGAGTACACAACCGGACACAAAATCTGCGGTAGACTGCCATGTTAGGAGCAGGTGACCCCCAACTGAAACACATCCTTCTTTTTCAAACCAATTAACTGAAGATACAAGTAAATAAGTACACAAACAATCAATACATTTTTCAACTTAGCGAGAAGCTAGTCGCACGCATATATATAACCTATATGTGTAAGTGCAGATGTTAAAAGGTGGTGAACAGGAGTGCCGGGGAAATTAAAGTACGAAAGTATGCTTGGATTACTTCAGAATTATGTCATTTGTTTTCTTTCTTAAAGTTCAACTAATTTTTATGAAAATTTTAAAAGCTTTTGTTCCCTTCACTGTGCTCGAAGACTACATGGTACATTTTATGGAAGATATGTTCAAAGTTAATCAAGAAAAGGAAAAGTTTTTTTATAATCTTTATGCCAATATGTCAATATCACGGCATAAGTAAATAAATTCGATCAAGGCTTTTGGAAGTTTGGGGACCGTCCTCGCCATTGCTTGGCATCAAAGATCGAACTGAGAACGTGCAGCACCTATAAGAACGGCAGACGTCACTGCTTTCCATGAAAGAACAGTAGTATCAGACACCTGAGCAGTGGGGAAGATGGCGATCATGGATGGAGTGATGAGCCTGTGGACAGGCGTTCACACACAGGCCAATTCTTGCTCAAATAAGTGCTAAATAATGAAGACAACTGAAGGGGCTCTTTGTTTGATGAGGTTGAATGATAAAATGATGGGATCGAAAGATGTCGTGGAGTGCAGTGTTTTCCGGCGAGCTAGACCCTATACCTACCTGCTTCATCAGTTGCAGTCCTAGTGATCGATTTGACTAAGGTTGCTTTCAATGCGAATCGCAGTCCAGCTTCAGATTGCGCATCGCAATTCATTCTCACAACGAACACTTTAAAATGACCCTCCAATCAGTCAGTAACCGTTGTGCCAGACGTTGCCCGTCGTGACCTGGTGGCTAAAGGGGTACAGGTCCCAGATAACTTCCTAATGGTCCCTGGCTCCAGTCCTGCTATCCCCACCTGAACTAATCAACCAAGGTCGAAGCGGTTGTTGGAGTGCAGAGGTCTTGTTTACTTTCTCTTTTCGGCATTTTATGGCAAAATATGAAACGTTGTGATAGACAAAACAAATACCAAAGGCAATAGTAGAGCAGAGACTCGAGTTGGAGATCGGTTTGTATTTCCTTTTTAGTTCCTATACTAGACTTAAAATCCTCCAGTTAAAGACGGGCGAGTAAGAGCATAAAGTAATTGTGAAGCGGAGAAAGGATGTTCCGTTTCAAATTAAATTAATACCTACCCTTGTACTATACACATACTTAGCCGTTTGCACACATCTCGTCGAGTGTGACATTGAGCTTAACCATATCACGAAAGTCGCTCATTTACTAGCGACATTTCACGGATACTCTAAATTGGTAGCTTAAACTGATTAACCAAATGTCACTAAGAAGCAGCATCCAAATCATCGAGTATCGGACTAGATAAAAGTTCGAACGAGACACATTTTTGACTATACCAACTTGGATTACATTCGTTCGATTCCTAAATTGGCACCTTGGCAACATGCAAACTGTAGCGTACCACTTTCAGAATAGGCTGCGTTATAAAGCACATTATGAAAAAATACAAGCTCAAACTTGAGACATGAAATCCGCAGCTACTCGATAACTAGTTAGTAACAACCATCAGCTACAAACACTTTCACTAACAACCCTCTGAGAACTAGAGCATGCATTCCTTCTTACATTTATCATATCCATCATTTGCAAGGGTATCCTAAGTTAGCAACTGAACCGTTTTCTTAAACTTTGCACAGACAAATTCAAGTTCAGTTTGAGTCTCATGACCTGAAATATTCCGTTTGTGGGTGTGAATCTGGTGAGGGTTTATTTGCAACGAATTCTGTATTCAGTATCCGCCTACATAGCCCGATGATATGAGATCTTGTTGTATAAATAAATAAATAAATAAATAAATAAATAAATAGTTTATTCTCGTCACTGCGAGGCACACCATCAAGGGCGTGATCATAGTAGTACAGACATATATGAGGAACAATCACACAAATTAGTACATTGTGACCAATAGCATGGGAATTTATGTGTGTGTTGAGATGTAAAACTATGTTTCACTGTGTATTTGGAAGGGGACATGTTGTGTGAGTAGGTAAAGGTGACTTTGTGTGCTTTTATTTGTTGTGTTCGCCATCGAAGGGGGAATCAATGGGACGCTTTGAATCAAATGACGTCAGTGATTTATGAATGATCCTCCGGAAAAGCGAAGAGGCCGTGACTTTATTTAGTGGCGAGTCACATCCGCCACGTCACAGTGTTGTTAAACGGATACTTGTGGCTTTTTATAGGGAGAAGGCTTGCCAGGCGAATTCCCACCACATCCTGGAACACTGCCGCCGAACCATTTGCTGGAACGGGATTTACCCGAACCACCCAGCTGACACCACGAGGAGGTTGTTCGGCTAGTGCAGCCGGAGTTGAGTAGAACATCTTTCTTGACTAGGATCTCGAGATACATCGGACCGGTGGTTGGGGCTTTATTCCGGTAGGACTTGTGTTTAGCTTCACGATTTTAACCACTCTTTTCATACCGATAAAACGTAGCTCTGCTGAATCTTGTTAACCTTTTCCCGTTGTCTTTCTCGTTTTTTCTCCATCCCTATTTTTATTATCAAGGTGAAAGCGAAGGAAATTAGATCCACCGCAACTGGACGATCGGCTCACAGCTGCTTAGCTGAATTAAAATGGACACAGCAGTTTGAGTGCTTGCACATGCTTACTACAAGTGGCAGGGCTGCAGCTGGTCTGTTGCCATTTGTTACGTAATGCATGCTTAGTGAATACAGTGAGAAATACCATTAGGATGGCATATCAGTTGAACCTAAGGGTTCTCACTGAGTCCAATGCTTTTGATAGAGTAGCGCAGAATGTGTACTGTGGCAAGCTGGCGTTACTGTGAGTTTAGAAGACACACGGCCGTGACTCAAGGATGAGAATCCTATGCTGCGCAATTAACCACGATTGGTCCAATCCACAATTGTACACCTATGCAGTTCGAAGGCTCATTCGCCACTATTTGATCCCATGCTTGGAGACGAACCGACGGTTGCAAATGATTAGCACTGGTCGAGGATTGGTATAGCTTTTATAGCGAACTCGGATGACAATCGCGACGAATGGGATCCAACGCAGAGAATGAACGTCACGCCATCCTCGCACCCATCGTCAAAAGGGTTTATGTGTATGGCCTTGTAACGCGGACCACTTGTGACCGTTCCATGCACTATTTGGAGTGATGCGTTGACCTGTAACGCGATTGACCTATTGCCTACATCCCATTCGTCGCGGTTATCATCCCAGTTCGTTATAAGTACTATACCAATCCTCGACTGGTTCACTCGGCCTGAGGAAGCTTTTGTGTCAAAAGCGAAACATTGTCCACAAACTATACCAACTGGTTGTTTTCAGACCTTTCTGAAATCATGAGTTCTCGATCGGTTCCAAGTATTTTCCAAGCTGATGGTTAGCACTGTGTCCAGCTGAAGTATCGATCGTATCTGTTTTGCTTATTCTGTATCGCATGACAGACAACAACCCATTGTTATACCGTGTTGCTATCATTTTCAGCTATTTTTAAAGGGTGAATACCCAATAAACTGTGACGAAGCCTTTCAGAGCGCAGTTGGTGATTTCTTTGAGGTGGTGCTTGAGAGTGACCGAATCGCTAGCATGGTGAAATCCGGAGCATGCTCCATGTACGACATACGCGAAATATTCATTGCCTTCATTGAAAAACGAGTGAGTTCCCATTTGATTTCGTGTTTTCCACACACCTGAGTCAGTTACAAAGTTTTGGTATGTTACTCGCCACACAGTCCTCACAGGCCACAGTTCAACAAAATAGAATAGCTGAAGAGATAAAATATATCTCAGTCTGCACACACCCTGATCGTAGCAATTCACTAACTACATATAAGGTGCGCGAGAAATCCTTCCGCATAAAGACAAACTGGATACGTGAATTAACTATAAATAAATAAATAAACAAATAAATCTTTTATTCTCAACAAGGTGAGGCACGCCTTTACAGACATGATCATTTTGACATAACGATGCATGATCAAGAATGTGCAAAACTCCGGTATGTTTGCCATAGCATTTTGTGTTTGTGTAGGGGGTATGTACGTATGTCATTGTGTGTGTATATGTATGTAGCTGTGTATTTTGTGCTTGTAGTTGTGATGATCCAATCTTCAATGTTTGATATTGTCATCAATATGCTAGTAGGAGATTGGTGTCCGTGGGTTAGAGAGAATTATCCGGATATCCACGGGGCAGTGACTTTATTTTGTGGCGAGTCACGACCGCCACGTCACAGTGTTGTTAAGCAGACATTTGTGGCTTTTTATAGGGAGAACGCTTGCCAGGCGAAACCCACCACGTCCTGGAACACTACCGCCGAACTATTTGCTGGAACGGGTTAAACCCGAACCACCCAGCTGACACCACGAGGAGGTTGTTTGGCTAGTCAGATGCAACGCTGACTCACGTCCTTGGTGCGGAATATTCCTGTGTGCACGACATTTGGTGCTCAAATCACTACCAGTTCCTTTTCTCTTACTTAGTACCTTTACATATATCAACACCGCGTAGGAAAAGTGCATAAAATAATGTTGTGTTCTCAGGGGCTGTGGCCAAGCCGGCTCCCTATTTTCCTATCTGGTGTGCCAGATTCCGTGGTGTCATCTTGCTTTGGTTTGTAGACACTGAATTATCTTCCAGTTTGGTTTACGCTAAACCTCAACATCTCCAGTTTTGATGCGGAGTCACCTGACGCTACACAGGTCTTCCGGCGAGTGTCTGCCTGCAAACCTTTTGCAAATCTTCTTATCCGTTTTGTCCTTAGATGTGTTCCACCTCCTGTATGCTTCTGGGATTACATACATTGTCTTCTAGACATACTTGTCTCCCTCGTGTGTAACAGTATATTGGAATCAAATCCGTTGGATTCGTTCGTCTCTGGGGTCCTTGCAATGTGCTGCCCCAATTGGTTTGCTTGGCGGACCCCAAATTGTACGCTAGCGCGTACATCGTACATCACCCTGCCACGGTGCCCCATCACTTGATCGGGCATCTAGTCGATTTGACGCCCTCGAGCATAGACAACAAATACTGGGTTTTTGACTTCAAAATTTCTGTACCTCGATCCATACCGCTGGTTTTGACCACAGAATTCCTGCTGCCTATCTTTGGGCTTTTAGTGGCCAGGAAATGCAAAGTGGTCCTCAGATTCCGACCCATCAGTACCTCGGCAGTTGACTTCCCCTTTGACCCATTGGGATTTGGGGTAATCGGATAATTCAACAAGCTTTTCCGGTGTTTCGTTCAATGTTCCCTCCACCTTCGATTTCAGCCGAACTCGTTTTAGAGTGTCCACACCTTTTCGCTTGCCCATTGGATTGAGAGTGATGCGGTGCAGTCTTCATGTGGTCGATTCCACTGTGTACACAGAACTCGGCTAACTGACCAGATTTGAGCTACTATGCGTCGTCTGACACAACTGTTGCTAGAGGGCCGTTTTGACTTAAACTATGCCTCAGTGCTGAGTACGGATGTGGACTGCATCAAGCTAACCTCCAGCCATTTATTATGGGCGTCAGTGATTACTAGGGGCGAAACTGATCCAACGGGTCCAGCAAAATTTACGTGTATCTGCGACCAAGGAGGTTCGGGTTTCTGAAGCTAGTGTAAGGTTGATTATACCGACAACCTGGAAGAAAAGGAACGCTTAGAACACATGCGACCAGTGTCTTCCAGTTGAATATTCATCATCGGCTAAAAAACGTAGCTCGTAATAGGAGCCTTCATGCTGGTAATTCCTCGATCGCCTATATGGTGTTGCCATAGGACGCGTTGCCGGAGACCCCGATGCGATCTGCACGGGACAGACATGTGTCAAATGAGAATATGCGTAGCTCGGGGTGTGGATGCGGATTTTGGGCGGTTCTCCGAGCTGACTGATTATTGTGCAGACGTTTCGTTGCCTGACTAGGCAACATCATCAGTGCGGTTTCAGGGGCCTGGTTCGCAGTGCCTCGTAAGCGACTTCAATGTCCAAGTGCTTATTGATCGAGTTCTGCTTTGAATGCCAGGCTTCAATGAACTCACGTGCTTGCCGGGTTTTAGCCCTTCCGAGGATACTGGTATGCTCTATGTCGAATTGATGATTCTCAGCATCCATGTGCACTGACATCAGGGAGTTCTGATCGTGGCGACGTATGGCTAGGCTGTGTTCGTGTAGCCTTGTGCCAAGCGTTCTCCCAGTCTGTCCCACGTAGTACTTGTCGCAGTTCCTACAGCAGATCTTATAAATCACACCAGTTTCTTCTTCTTTGCTAAGTTTATCTTTCACCTTGAAGAGTTTGCTGCGAATGGTTTCCGTTGGCTGGTGTGCAACTTTGACTCCAAAAGGCAATAAAAGCCTCGCTGCCATTTCAGAGATACCATTGATATAGGGAAGTGTTGTTCTCTTTTCAACTGGTACATTTGTCGAGGTGTGTTGAGTAACCTTTTGTGAATGAAGCTTTTTGGGTAGGAGTTCCGCTTGAACAGGCTGAAGAGATGATCTTCCTCTGCCCGTCTCAGCTGCGGTGTGCTACAGTGGGTTTGTGCTCGTTTGAAAAGGGTTTGCACGCAGCTGCGTTTGTGGGCTGCCGGATGATTGCTGCCGTAGTTGAGGATCTGGTCCGTATGCGTAGATTTTCGGTAGACTGTTGTTTCCAATCGTTCGGCACCAGTCCGTCGTATGAGAACGTCTAAGAATGGTAACTGTTCGTTGTTCTCCTCCTCCCTGGTGAATTGGATGCCATCGAACACACTGTTGATTAGTTCGTGTGTTTCCTCCAATTTGGAACGTTTGAGGATGACGAAGGTGTCGTCTACGTATCGTACCCAAAGTTTTGGTCTCGCGATCGGAAGTGCTATTTGTTCCAGCGCCTGGCATTCAAAGCAGAACTCGATCAATAAGCACTTGGACATTGAAGTCGCTTACGAGGCACTGCGAACCAGGCCCCTGAAACCGCACTGATGATGTTGCCTAGTCAGGCAACGAAACGTCTGCACAATAATCAGTCAGCTCGGAGAACCGCCCAAAATCCGCAGACATGAGTCAATTTGATATAAAGATTTGTGCCGCCTGATGTACTGTGTGAACTCTTCTTTTGGATAATTTTTTGGCCATCTGCAATGTATGTAGGCCTGACTTATAGTACCAGCGCATCGCACTTAGTGGCCCGTTGAACCATCCTGGCATTCACCGACGAGTTCTTTACGGCATCAGCTAACACGTGACTGGTGTCTGCTTCGGCTACAATCACAGCAATGACTGCACCTTCTGGTTGACCTTTGATGTTATCGATCAGCCTATATAGGACGTCTGCCTGGTTGACACATATTTTATGCCGCAGTCGTCTTATTTAAGTCGAATGGCTGTGTATGTTGGCATACTGTTTTTCGAACCAGAAATTGCCACCAGCGGCTTGTGCTCTGTGACGGGTATAAGGCGCAATCTGTATTGTGCAACTTCCGGACAGCAAACACGATGGTCAATGACTCATTTTCAGTTTTACCATAATTCTTTTCAGATGACACTATAACTCGAGCGATGTGCATTGTTAAATTTCAGAACCGTCAGGGAACCGGTATGAAATGAACGCTCCAACACCATATATAAATGCATCAGTGCCCACAACGGTTCCAAATTGGAATTGTACTAAGGGAGGATCAGCTCTGATTTCGGTAGTGATTTCAATTTCTTGAACGTTTGCCGACATGTTTCTGATCGCTTCCATACCGCATCCTTCATCGTCAATTGTTCCAATGAAGGATGCAAACGATGCACGCATGACAGATATCCCTTGTAAGGACTCGCCATTTCTAGGAAAGATATAGTGTTGTTATATCCATTGGCGCAAGAAGTCGGTCTATCACCTCTATATTCTCCGAATCTGGTCTTCGGCCGTACTGATTGATCACAAATCCCAAGATCTTGGTGGACTTCATCAACAATCTGCAGTTATTCTGGCACAAATGCAATTTAATATCTTTGATTCTCTACATCCCCTCATCCCGTCGTTAAAGCAATTCATCCTGCGCTCCGGCAATTAATATAATGTCATCCAGATAAACTGCCACTTCCGGTACACCACTCAATATGGTATCCATGAATTAATGAAGAAATGCAGGCGCTGATTTAACCCCAAACGACAGACGGTTGTATTGACAAAGATCACGATAAATATTTGTTGTTAAGACCATCCTACGTTCATGTTCAGCTCCGGATTACAAATTAACGCCAGTGAGATCAACAGTAGAAAAGTGTTTACCTTCATTCAGCCTTGCAAATACCTCATCGGGAACTGGATCGGGCTGTTGGTGAGGCTTTAGAGCGTCATTTAATCTGTTTGAAAGATACGTACACAGCCGAATAGTACCGTTGGGCTTATTGATCACCACAATGTGAGTAGCCCATGCTAAAAATCACTTGACCAATCCAGCTATATAAAGTCGATCGAATTCCGGTTCAACGAGTTTTTGCGTTGTGTACGGCACCGGGTGCTAGGGTCGAAATCGTGGTTTTACCTCAGGCTGCAGCGTAAGTTTTACCTCCCTCTTTGTACTGAGCCCAAAATGGAAAACACACGCGTATTTGCATAAGGTTTTTCTGAAATACTTGCATCGTTATGTGTTGTTACGAATGTATGGTGAACCGCAACATTTTGTTCACTGCACACACTACCGAATGAAACATTGAGGACATTTAGCTTTTTGAGCCGTGAAATGATGATAATATAAGATGCGGTGTCTAGTTGTAGTATAAATGCGACGCCCTTTAGGTACACTGCCAAGTAGCTTAGCCTGCAGGAAAAGTGTTCGGAAGGTTGCAAGGACAAGGTTTGTTTTCACACCAAGAAAACTCATTTTCTTTGTTGCGGATCTGTTATGCACCATTCTTGTAGTCAAACGTCTGAATTTGTACACGGCTCGATATTGGGTTTCTCTGTGACCAACTCGCCTGCATTGATGCTGCTTGTAAATGTAGTGCCTCGCAAAGTGCAATTCAACACAATTCCTACATGCAGTCGGGGTTTCTGACTAGGTACATTCCGGTTCCCCATTTTGACTGTGAGAAACTGCGCGGTGGACCTTGGTCCGGAATTCTCCATCATCTTGACCTCATATTTCATGCTGATCAACCCCTTACATCCAGCTGTAATCTCCTGTTGTGTCAGCTAAAGTTCTTGCTCCAACTTGTGAAGGATGCGTGTTCCCATATCAGCACCGGTATGCGACTAAAGGCTACGAATGAATACCAGGCTTTTGAATTGATCGCTTGTCATACAGTCCAGTTTGAAACGTTCATCTTCTCGGGTCACAAATGTGTACAAAAATCAACGATATCACGTTTGACCAGTTCTATACAATTATAACGGATACTGAACAAGAATGCTTTCTCACCAAAGATCCGTGACACTGATTTCACAGTTTCACCAGAGCCAAGGTCTCTTGGATATTTGGCAACACGAACTTGGCATAACATTCAAAACTGGACGGCATCGAGTTTTCGCAGCAACAAGCGAACTTTCCGAGCATCACCTTGAACAAACTTAACACGAAAAACACCTTCATACTTCTGTAAGCAGGACTTGAAGTTACCCTAGTCGGTTAATCAAAAGGAATTCTGTAATTGATGCTGTAATTACATCCACAGATACCCGTGCGCCAGTTCTTGGGGACTCTACCTGAACGCTTTTCTGTGCACATAACGCGATTAATTGCTTTTGAAATTCCTCGAATTGCGGCTGCTGCTAGTGGAGAAGTCTGCATGTGATCAAATGAAATGCTATTCCTGTCCCAAACCTTTATCACCAAACTATGCTGTGTTCTCAGGGACTATTGCTGAGTGGGTCTCCTATTGTTGTGCCTCGAGTGTCAGATCCAGTGTCGCCACCTTGCTTCGGTTTACAGATTCTGAATCCTTTTCCCGGTTTTGTCTTTCCTTGAACATGTCTCTGCGAGCCTGATGCTTGATCTGGCACACCGATTCCCTACCTTAAACCCAAAAGGACACTAGTCGCTGGGGAAGCTCACCTGACCAAAATACTGCTCGTATGCATCAGGTGCAAACGCGCAAGTGCCATGTAAGATATTAATCAAAGACCGGTGGGCTGATTGATGCCAAATATGAAAAACCAGTGCAACCCCGCCATCACATACTCTCGCTTTCTTTGACACATTAGTCGCCTGTGCAGACGGCCTGGTTAAGTTAGTTTAAGGCAGTGTCTCGAGTACCAGAGGTAAAATGTGTATAATTCGATGTTCATTCTTTTCATTCAATCATTAGACGAGTAGACTAGTCTTCGAGATTTTGAAACCAACCCTACATTTTCCCAATGCTGCTGCTGCGAGATGGTTGCTAGTCCTATTTGGGCTACAACAATTGGACGACAGCACAACGCTGGTTACATTAGTCTCCATGGACGGAACATCCAGCCGATCGCAGCGCGGCAGGCAGTAGTTGCCAACATTCACTTTCCGGACCTCCGCATGGCTGTGACTGCGAGCAGCCACTGGACACCTACGCCTGTAGGTAGCATGAGTGGCTTGCATTGCATCATCCATTGCTTCATCTCCACACCCCTTACCCAATATATTCCAGTGAGAATAAATTTGACCAACGTACCCACCACTTCTACTTCATAATTTTTTACTTGCTGTTAATCTGCCTCCATTAGTTTTAAACATTGTGAGATTCATTAGGCTGAACAAATTAGTTTCCCAGCCTGTCCTTACTGCCATTCGCGCACTGCTGTAACTCAAATTCCGTAACCGCTATTGGAAGTAGGCCTCTAGGCCGCCCCAGCCAAATATGTAGACGGAACCCACTTGGTAATCCCGCCTTTCACCCGAACGCTAAACTGCCTCACGAATACGCTCTTGGTGTAGCAGTAACTTCGGTCATCAAAGCTGCTCTGCCAACACTACAGCATTACGGGCAGTTCAATCACCCAGAAGTGGATTCTCAGGTGTTCCTCAAATGGCATTAATTTTCCGATACGCTCATGCATTCTCATTTGCTCGAGCTATTGTTGTTGTACTTTGTTAGCTTTATCCAACAACACATTGTTCCCGGTTACATCTTATGCTTAAGTTTAGATTTCGTTCAACCAGCCCCCGCTGACTTTGAAGAACCACATTTCATTCTGCCAAATCAGCTGTCGCATTGCCAACCGGCACTAAGTTTTCGCTTTCCACCGTTTCTACTTGATTGTTCAGACTTCTCTTGGTCTACATTCACGCATCCTGACTAGGTAAGCTTATTTTTCAGTTATACTGTTTTATATGTTTAGTTTCAGAATGAACATGTCAATGAAGGTCTCTCAAAAGAAAATGTGATAGGCTCTTGGAAGGTTAAGTTTGATCAGATTTGCCGTGGAGGCGAACGCCCGTGCCCCGTGGCCATGAAGCTTGCTGTACCCCAACCAGAAATCGTCGCCCCTACCAAGGAGCAGCAGTATGACTTACTGATGCGCACTTTGTCGGTTGAGAAGTACGAACACCAAGTGCTTTACAATGCTTGTCAGGTGAGCACCATCTCGTTTACGAACTTTCCGCTGTCTGTGTGGAGTGCACGTGTAATGCATCGAAGTATTGGATCCAGTGAATGTCCCTTTTTTCAATCTCGATGATTCACATGCTAAATTTCGAAGGTTACTCTTTCGATATCAAATGGTTGGAAGCTAGACGATGTGCACATCTGTGAGACATGGAGCTAGTTGTGCGAACGTTATCAATGCAAAAAGGACCTCTTAAACATAAAACAAGTAGCGAGACTATCTTGTATGTCCAACTATCCGCAAGGCTCAGTCCGAGGCTCGCTCTTCCCATCCGAACGCGCAGATTCAGCGCGTCGGACATTTAACGCTGACGACATCGATTCTCCGTAGTACCAGTTTTCGAGGTCACCCACAGCAAAAGTATGCCTCTCACCAAAACACGCTTGTGTTGCGCCGCCTGTGACTCAACCCACCTACCATATCCATAGTGAACTTGAACGAATAAGACAGGAAGATATGTAAAGAGGGCGTCACCATGCTTTCGTTCACTTCATTCAAGGTTAGACGAATCTATGTGTCGGTTGTCAAGGTTTGGGATATGACCTAGCGACTGTAGACTTCGTGGCATATACCACAAAAAGTATGCGCAACGTGTGAGCAGTTGATTCACAAGGAATCAATGCAATGTAGTTAAACACTGTTATAAAGTATCTGAAAGGATTCATATTAGACGTACACTTGTTCATGGTTACACTGTGAGCTGTTTCTTATAGGAATCGCTTTTCAAATCTGTAACTATCGTTGGAGCTGCTTGCCTCATCTCTGCTTGTCACAAGTAACCACCCTCTGTACCCACTGACCGAGCCAGTGGCACATAATGAACAGACACCATGTCTCCGCTACACTCAGGTTCGTCTAAACGTAGCATGATAAGAGAAGATAAATGTCAAGCATACAACAAACATTCCATCGGTTATAGAAATGAAGACTGGTAGCTCAGGTTGTTCAGATGGCTGTTGAACTGTTCTCTGAGCTTGGCAATTTTGTTGCAAACGTTTCGTCACCAATCGAGATGACATCATCTGTGCGTAGTTGAGTGGCGTGCAATAGCGTAGAGGAGCCTCGGTGCGAGGATCCTCTATGCTACTCTACGCTATTGCAAGCCACTCAACTTCGCACAGATGATGTCACCTCGATTGGTGACGAAACGTTTGCAACAAAATTGCCAAGCTCAGAGAACAGTTCAACAGCCAAACATTCCATCATTCACGAGTAACCCTGTACCAACCACATGAGTCCGGTATATGGCGGTAGTTTCAAGGCATTAACCCACGTAATGGCAAGTACACGGTGGGGGTCCGCGATAAGTATTCCGGAATCGTTCGACCCAAGGCCATAGCGGACACTAAGTGTACAATCTGTGGTTGATGACCTGGTTGGAGTCCGAAATTCACTACACAGTTGGAAGTATCAATTTTAAGAGTGTATGGGATTTATGTAATTGCAAGGAATAAAGTGTGCCTACAGTCATATAGGATATGAAGTCCACGTAGGAAAATCGGTCAGACGCGAGATTGGAAAGAATGAAAATGCCGGTTATGTTAGGGAGGCTTATAAACTAAAACAGAATAAACTGAAAGTTTCTAAGAGAATTGCAGGAGGCCCCGACTAAAACGCAAAGCTGGTAAGCACTTACCTATCAATGTGAAACATTCTGTATACGTAATGTTTCCAAAAATGTGTTATCATTTGTCAATGCAAGCAGCACATCTGCAACCTCGGGCGTTCTCTCAAGCAACTCTAGTGGTGACAAGTCACCAGACCACGGTGAGGATGCTGAAGTGCAAAACGCGCGTCCCCACGACCTCAGTCGAATAGCCACATCCACCCAGCGCTCCGTAAGCGTACGACACCGAAAGAAGGCTGCGGTTCACACGTTCTCGCCACCCCTCTGGCATCACTAATTCTAATCCCGTAGCAGCCGACTCAACATAACGGTGAGTGAGCGACGCTTATGTCATTGTCCCAACCGGCTGCGTCACTTTACCTCAGATAGGTGGAATCCAAGCGACTGATTGACAACTTCTCGGTCGCTTGGGCATGTTGGCATCTGAGGAGTGGCGATAAAGTGGTCAGTCAACATCTTGAAATGGTCTTGATACCGATAGAGAACTTGTGCTTTCCTTAGGAGATGAATGCTAAATTTGCTAAGTGCTATTTCGAATCGGACAAAATGGCCTAGTCCGGCCGAATGAACCACCGTTATGGAGAATCGACTGGTACCGGATTACAGTTAGTGACGCCAGAGGGACGGTGAGAACGTGTGAACCGCGACTTGCTTTCGCTGTGGTACGCTTGCTGAGCGCTTGGTGGATGTGGTGATTCGATTGTGGTCGTGAGGACGCGCGTGTTGCACTTTGGCATCTCATCGTAGTCTGGTGACTTACCATCTCATGAGTTGCTTGGGACGGCGCCCGAGTTTGCGAATGTGCTGCTCGCATTGAACATTGATAGTACAGTTTTGGAAACACTACGTACATAGAATATTTCACATGGATAGGTAAGTGCTTACCAGCGCGTTCCCTTAACAAACGAACTGGTACACATGTGACAACTACATGGAGTATTCCCCAAGAACAAACGCAACCGAACAAAAGCGCACTTGGGGCGGAGGGGTGCGCCTTTACAAACAAGTCAAGAGCTAGCATATCATGCGCTCTGGCTGCCCCTCCTGACGCCCGTACTCCAAATACCATACCGTCCGAATGCATCAGCAGCAGTCATGTCATCCCCCACAGTTTAGGTCCTTTGGCCTCAGTCATATAAGAATCTAGCGGTGAATGGACAGCTACCTAACATTTTACCCAGTGATAGTGTGCGCGGGCACACGCGTGCATCTAGAATTGCACAGGTAAGTGCCTGCCAGCCCGTGTACAGCACCCCTAACCAGTACCCAAACTCGACTACATCTAGACCCCGCGAAGCACAGCTCATACCAGGTGACTTCGACGAACATATTCGCCGAAACCTGTACCCCTATGCCACGAGAGATATCTAGAGAGAGAGATTCAGAGGAGAATGAATTTTACGGAGTCATTTGATTCCGCTATGGATCTAATTGTGTGCGGAAAGAGATAGTACGCAAGCATCAGGAATCCGTTTGGCCAGGACGTTCGCACCATTCTTATTGGGAGGGAAAATTCCTAATGCCCATCCTATGGTCACGCTTATTTCACCTGGTTGTGTGGATTCACTTGCATCGAACACAGCTGAGAGTGGAGTTCACTGCCCATTTCCGAATGACAGAGCTGATCGAAAATCGTAGAACTTATTTGGAACTGATTACGAAATCTTGACTTCAAAAAGCTTTGGAATAGGCGCTGACCGCTTGCTCCCGAACCTCTCTGTACAGATCTGCTTACAGAATCCAATAGTACAACAGAGGAAGAAAGAACTCTGGGAAGAGAGTAGCACAGAAGTCGAGCGATGAGTTAATTCAGGTTTGCCTAACACCACCAGGGAGCGGAAGTCACATGCAAACTAACGGGGGGGGGGCGAGTTCGCCACACTGACGTGGAAGCAACAATTAGTAACTTCCGTATCTGCAGTAACAACGTCATGCTCACATCTTTCCAGTAGTTCCTGGCAGAGGTAATTTTGCTAGTTTTGTGGGCCGACATTGAATGCTACATACTTCATAAGTCTGTTTCCACTGCGGTATTACTGTGGAAGCCTTTGCTTCAGGCTACAAGTTGGCTCTCGATACTTATACAGCAAACCTTTCAGAGTTTCTGTACCCGCAAGATCGACGTTTCCCTTCGATCTTGGAACCTGCAGAGTGCATTCTTTCTTCTTAGCAGACAGCCTTTGCACTAGCCCTTTTAGCGCTTCAGTTAGAGAACTATTATCCGCGCTCCGGGTGCGGTGGATCCAGTACCGTTAGCGTTTCGATCCGTGGTGCGTCGTGAACGTGCACACCAACCCCATGACCTGCTTAGTTTCTTGAGACTCCGGGGAAAGGGTACTCGGGAAGTACCAACCGTAGGACAAAACAACTAGATGCTCTCAACGCTGCTGGTGATAAGAATGGCTCCGGCTTAAATTCGAACTCAGGTTCAGTAAGAACCACCAACAGTCATCAGATTGGATGTACTTACTGGGCCTCTCGCATCAGCGTCAACTCTGTATTCCACCCTATTTGGTCACCTCGGCAGTGGAGGCAGGCATTTCGGGACCGCTAAACTGTAATGCAACCCCATTGCAACATCAAGAAAGACATCGAACTAAGCAATGGTGTATCATCCTCTTACATTTTTACGTTTGATAACCTCAACTGTAGTAGCACACATTAATGGCTTTTCCTTCTTTTCTCACAGATTCTCATACATCAGTTACGAAACGTCTTACAGATGTCTGCTTCGAAGAAGTTATACTTCACAATCGAATTAGAAGGCTCCAGTGAGAAGAAACGCACGGATAGTGTTGAGGCAGCGAAGCCACTGTAGGTCATTCTGGTGTTACCCTTTTGATTATCCGGTTATTTCGGCTGCCAGCTTTCTTCTCAATCAATCATTTGAGGACTTAGGTAACGCCTTACCGACGGTCCATGATTACTTTGGAGAATTTTGTCACACAATGAGCGATAACAACAGACTACTCCCCAATTCATTAGCTACTCAGGTTCATAATGGGCTTTTCATTAAGGGAACTGAAAGTTGCAGCAGGCAAATACATTTAATAATTGTTGAAATTGTAACCTAGCCTGTGTTTGGTAGGACCAGTGTATGAAACGTGTTATGGTGATGCACTAGCATGTGCTTTAGGTTTGACTCAGCATTCGCTATCAACCTATCACCTCAACAGTTACCTACCAAATCCGAATCGGGCCATATTGAATAAGCTCGGTAGCGTATTTTGAGTAAAATCTTCCGACTGGTTTATCACTTGCATGAAACTTGACGTTTGTTTACTGCGTTTCACTGGTTCACCTTATTGCCAGTCTATCTCTACTGTGCGAGACAGTAAGGTGTGTCGTACCATAAGCGCTTTTCACGTGCTGTGCACTTTGTTATCTGATGCTCACTGAGTCCTAATACTGGATCCTACCAACAGTCCTTCATAGCGGACGTCGCGCTCTTCGAAACAACGCACTCTTCAGGGGCTTCTTGTGCCAGGTGTGCCACATATTGAGTCTAACGCAGATGGTGTCAGAAGTTGCGGCATCTTGGATCTACCATACCGCATAAACGGACTGATCAGTTAATCCCTATCGAGTGATCATGCAGTAGCCGATGGTCCCGAGTTATATCGACTATCATGCAGAGGGATACAATCACAGTTGCTCATGACTGGTATTCTAGGCGGTCGTTAGAGGAGTCCACGGATTTTTGCTGTCAAGCAAACATTGGTACGCCGTCACGCATGCATCCATTATAACGGATGTCCCATTTATCGAAGCATGTCGCACTCGGTTCATGAGCGTCTGGTTACGTTTATTCCTCATTTTTATGTCATACTAACTCGACACACTCATGTTAAGAAGGTGGTGATGTTTCGACAGTGCACCTGTTCTATCACAAAACGGCAGATATATGGTGTACTGCACAGGGACGTTCCGAATCGTGGCCCGCCACGAGTTCTAAAGTTCATGAATTTCCGTTTTACTGGCCTTACTTATCACCTCAAGTCGCCCTTGTTCATTTTTCATCGGGCCTAAGTTTGGTCAGCATCGTTGGTAGCAGTGTATCGACCAGGTGCCCTGGATTGACCCGATGACCTCAGACAATTAACTCTTCCGTCAGTGGGACATTCCTTGTAATGACAATGTTTTAGCTTTACAGCTCAACTAGTTGCTTCGCGAAACTTCTAATAAGTATATGGAGTGAAAAGGTGGTATGGTATGGTATTAGCTACGCATAAAACGCCTCATAGCTTGCTACAAAATAGAATCTTATGTTAGTTAATGATGTTGCTGCCTGAAAGATGCTTCAATATGTCCAGAACAAAAACACATAAGCTGGTTTGTGGAAACAACAGATTACGCATTTGCATTTGATGCAAATGATAAGAATGGAAGTTTCTTATGAGTCAGTGGCTGTCAAGGTAAATGATACGTACGCGCATGATTGCATGCAGCCTAAAAAGCGTATATGCTGTTTTCCGCTAGTTGACATTAAGAAATTACGGTCAGAGACAAATAAAATCCCTATGGACGAAATCCGACAAATGGTCCATTAAGACGAAAATACAGTGGTATCAGTAAGTAAAAGGAATGTTACTCAACTAAACGACTGGTTACATTCTATGTACCAGTTAAATGCGTTTGCATACCACAGACTATAACAGGCACTTCCCTATCGTACATTCAGTTGGCAGGCTGGCGTTCCGCAGGACCCGCTATCAAGGCCATTGCTGTTCGCGATTTATGTAAAAGATTTGCCGGAGGAAGTTGGTGTCACCGCCAATGTCTACTGACGACCTTACGTTCTGGAACATCATGGATATCCCTGTGGGTTCTGAGGCAATTCAGAATGCCTTGGAAGGTCTCTGAGAATGCTCAAGTTTATGGTTGATGGGTATAAATGGGGTCAAGTCTTTTGTTCTCCATTATCATCATCATTATACCCATTAGCTGCAGGTGGAAAACACCTCAGTTATTGAGCCGCAATACTAAATACCAGAACAAATACAACAGTGGCATGTCGGCTGAGTCCACAGTAATGGATGGGCATCGTTCCGGAGAGCTAACAGACGACTATCGTGCTGCAAAAAGAGAGTTATATTACGCCTAACGAATGAGATCGTGATTGGAGAGGAGGGTAAGCGGGAGGGGGATGGACAAAGGAACGAACAACACAAGCGCCATTGGCGCCGGCTCTTCGCGATATCAAGTGTGTTCAACCGAACGTGTTCATCGTCCTTAGGACCCCAGCAAGCCAGTCGGGATGCACCAACCGACGCCAGTTTCGAAGTGCGGGTTTACATTCCACTCGACCAAGTCATCGCTTGGCCTCCCCTCCTCCCCTCTTCCAACCGCACCCCCAGCGCGTAAACAATGCACATCGCGGGAGTTGATGTGCTGACATGCGCAGCACATGACCCATCCAACGAAGCTTGGTGCGTGATATAATGGTGCTGAGCGGTTCACTAGCCCTTCCTGCACCAAGTACGCGACGCCGAACACGCTCATCACTCACGCGATGCCCCCATCATACATGAGCTAAACTGCGAAGGCAGCAGTTATCGAACGTGACCAGCTTCTTTATGTCTGTCGACCTGATGGGTCAGGCTGCGCGGCCGTATAAGAATGTTGAACGGACGGCTGCATTATAAACTCTGCCCTTCAGGGTGAGAGTGATGTGGCGTCCGCACCACGGGCGGCGGAGATTGGCAACGGCACCTCGAGGTTTTGCTATACGGTTCATAATGCCATCTTCGATCCCATGGGCGCTAATATAGCTGCCCAAGTACTTGAATTCCTGAACGACTTCTAGCTAACCACCACAAAACGTTAGCGCAGGGGTGGGTCTCTGCCAATTTTGGAGAAGTACTTTGCATTTCGATGAAGCAAAACAAAGCCCAACACGATAGACAGTCAGTGCTAATCGGTCAAGTGCTGCTTGGCATGTTAGGGAGCTGTCACAGATTAGGGCAATATCGTCCGTATCCTCCAAGTCAAGAAGTCGCTCACTAAGAAGTAGCTCCACACCTTCTATGTAGTGTGCAGCGAATATTGTTTCCGTGACCGTCAACTGAGAAGTTAAATAGCAAAGGTGACATCGGACAACTTTGTCTCACACCGCTGATGATATTGTAGGGTGGCGATAGTTTGCCATAAACCCTCACTCTGCCCGAACTATGTGCGTTCAGCGCTTTACTAATGTTTACGTATTTATCAGCCACACCTTTTCTCAGTAGATAGTCCCAAAATGCACATCGATCGAATGAGTCAAAGGCATCTTTTCTGTCAAGAAACCCGACAACGGTGGGTCGCTACTAAACATGGCGGTGCGCCAACAATTGACGCAAGATGAAGATGAGGTCTATGCAGCCCTGACTTCCACGAAACCCAGCTTGCTCTTCACGAATCTGGTTTTCATGTCAGTCAATCTGTGGGGAATGACAGACACAAGCAATTTAGAGGCAATTGAGAATAGACTGATCCCTCTGTGATTGCCGCATTCCGAACGAGAGCCTCCGTTGAAAATTGTGAGAATTACGGAGCGGCTCCAGTCTGTCGGGACAGTCTCCTGCTCCCAGTTTCATTACTAACTCGTGTAAAACATTTAGAGCAGGTCCCCCGAATTTGAAGAGGGCCGGGGGAATACTCTCTGCCCCTGCGGCCTTATGCAATTTCAACAGCCTGATCTCACGTTCGACTTCTGTACGTGAGGGCGGATCCAAGGAGACGGCACAGGGAAAGGGTGCTTTGGCGAGCATCCATAATTTCCAGAGACTGTGTAAAGACCCAATGTCTAGGTTGGCAATTTGATTTGTCACATGAAAACTTGCCTGCTGATAGTAACGCTTGACGGATATGCGACCATTCATCTCCGACGGTGTTCAATGGGCACTTACTCAGCCCTGATGTCCGCGCACTTTGATACACATTCAGAACACCTGGCTGCGCCACTTGGCTGGTGTCAAAGCGCTCACAGCGATGTTGCGGACATCCACCGAAACGCACCCGGAGGTCGGCGCAAACAAGTGCATGGTCAGAGTCGACGCTCGTGCTCCAAATCGAGCGACAGTTTTGAACACAGCCTCTCCAGCGTTAACTGATTGCGATATGATTGATTTGCGTCCATGACTGGTGCGTAGAGGGTGAGCGTCAAGTCACGCTTCTGCGGGTGCTGTGTCGAAAGTTTGTGCTCGCGAGAAAGAGACGAGCCTTTTCACACAGCTGTAGCAGTCGTTCACCGTTATAATTACGGGAGCCTACACCATGTTGGCCGCCCAGATGAAGCTCGTCAGAGGACAATTTTCCGACTTGCGCGTTTAGATCGCCAGTCAACACCACAGTATCCGTGCTTCTAGTGTAACGAAGGAGATCGTGAAGTTGCTGACAGAAATCATCTTTCACCGAATCAGTGCTACAGTTTGTAGGGGCGTAGGCCGCAATGACAAACAGGCACCGTTTGTTCCCGCGCGACTTCATAGCATGGAACGAACCGGCTACTCTAACGGTGCACATCCGATTGATGATTGGGATCCAATTGATCAGGGCAGCTTCAGCCCGGGAACTCAAAACAATGCCGACGCCAGCTTGCCCGGCACTTCAAGCTGCATCATCGCCAGAGAGGCACAATGAGAATGTGCCGCCACTGTCGCATGTGGGGGATGGCAGAGTAAGCACGGAGCTCGAATATTGCAGGCGGGTTTCTGATAAACAGCAAATATCGATCGATAGGGTCTCTAGTGTGCGGACAACTGCTGCCTGTTGGCCAATCTGCGGCAAAGTGCGCACTTTGAAGCATGCCAGTCTTAGCGAGACTCGAGGACTCCAAAGGGAGACGGGTGAACTGACGTTGTCCGCTTGGTGGAACATGGACTTGTCGGCTGTATCAGAGCGACGCCCTGCGATTGTGTGTGAATTGAAACTAGAAGACAAGTGACTATTGAAGCAAGGTTGAAGAGGGCCAAGAATTGGGGGATTGTTTCAACTGAGAAAACAATCCCTGAGATGACATCAGAATTAAAAGACAGGCGAACAAGCTTGTTTTCGGTGGTTCGCATCAGACCAACACACCACAGATGATAGGAATAAATCAAACACAGTGTATTTAAATTTGATGAATGAATGAAGTGAATTGACCGGTTAATGCGATCAAGTGACCACACTGGCTTGGGCATCATTAGTGGAAGGGTCAAGCGTGATGTCGTAACATGGGGAAGCTTGAGGCCATGGCAGCTGTAGAGCCTGTACAAACTTCTCTTGGGCACATAATTCGGGATTATGGAGCCGAATAGCGATTGCCTCCGCTGTCGCCAATAGGCGACACGAGCAAGAAAAATGGTACACACAGAAGGAAATATTCGACCTCGGCAATCTATCCTTGAGATGCTGACTCACGACTGGCGTAGAATTGAAGCTGACGCCGAGGTAAGCGGCAAAGTAGGTTCTCGCTGTTGCATTGCAGAGCCTTCGAGTAGTTCGTTCTGCTATCACATCACCTTTGAAAGGCAGTGGTAAATAGATTAAGCGCTTTTCAGCGGTGATTGGTTGGACTTTAGGTGCTCTTTGCTCCATGTGTCTCCGGATGAATTTGTCCGGATAACCATTTTGTTCGAGAACGCTTCGAATAAAACTGTTCATCGGACAGCTTATCTTCCGTGCATATTTTCCTCGCTCTTTCCGTTAGACAACGGACAAGGTTGTGTTTTTAACTAATTGGAATAAAACTGGCGAAATGGGTATACTGGCCGGTCCAAGTTGTCTTTCTATGTACTCTCCTTTGTACTGTCCCGTCTGACGTTCTGGTGATGTGGACATGTAAGAATGACAACGAGTTGTTCCTTTCAAGTTCTGTGGTGAACATTCTGTTGTTATGTGCAGCGTTGAAGTGGGCTAGCAGATCTTCGATGCATACTCGACCATCCGCAACACAAAAGATGTCATCTACGTATCGACCGTAATAAACCAAGTTGTTGATACATTTGTTTAGCTGAGTGTTCTCCAACTTACTCATGAAGACATCGGCGAGTAGCGGTCCTACTGTTGAACCCCTAGTTACCCCGTCTATTTGTCTGTAAAACGTCTCATTGAACTGAAACTGAATGTTCTTAGTGCACGCCAATATAAGTTGCCTTAAACAGTCATTTGGAATACCGATGTTGATGTTGTGCAATTGGATAAACTCGCAGAGATAGTCATTGGTCTCTTCCAACGGAACGTTGGTGAAAAGTGACGCCACATCTAGTGAGAACATCTTCCGTCCTGCTAGATTGAGTTGTTGCACCGAGTCAACAAATTCAAAAGTGTCCTGGAGGCTGTACCTAGATATGGCTTTCCTGACCGGCTCGAGGCGTTTGACAAGGCACTTAGCAGTCAGATGATAGGGGGAGTTGTACATGTCCATTATCGGTCTCAACGGTACATCTTGCTTGTGGATCTTAGGTAAGCCATAAAGCCTCGGAATCACGGTTCCACTAGGTCTGGCGTATTCAAAAGTGTCAGAGTCTATGATGTTATTTTGTTTCAAACGCCGCAAAAGTGTTGTCATGGTCTTCTCAATTGCCGGCGTCCTGTCTTTCTCGTTTTGCACTTTTCCAAATTTTGATGCGTCTCTTAGGATAGTGTTTATCTTATCAGTATACTCTGACTTGTTCATCAATACAACCCCGACTCCTTTGTCAGGTCTAGATAACAAAACATCCTCGTTTTTCTTGTTCCTTCAGAGCGTCCAAATGCCTCTTCTTTAGAAGATATTTGATGGTCGGTTTGTATCTCAGGTACTGGTAGCATGTGTTTACCAATGTGGATTTGTACTGTTCGGCTGCTAATGCTGATGATGGTGTTAAGGTAGAAACTTCAGAATAGAGATTTTCAAATTGGACTTCCAAGTCTAACTGTTGTACATTACCTCGGGGGTAACAGAATTTCGGGCCTAGTGAGAGGACCTCCATTTGTGTTCTATCTAATTGCAAAGAGGAGGAATTGTGCACGTACTTCTCAGGGTCAGGTGGAAACGAGTTACTCTGCGTTATTGAAGCGATCTGTCGCCGTAATGAGGCTATTCGCACTTCCACTTGCCGAGCCATAATTCGCTGAACGAGTGGCTCTGAAGGTGGAAAAAGCACCACTCAGCGTAGCCCAATGGATCACTAGGGCACACAAACCATCGCACCACTTTAAGGTCCAGTCTCGTTGCGATGGATTCTGTTATCCGAACAGGAGCTGCTAGTCCTGCCACACGAAATATTGTCGGAGGAATTGAAATCCCTGTTGTCATTCAGCAGGTTGATTTCGGTGTCGTCCACCCATCAGCCCTTCACCCTGGTGATAATTAGAAGAAGTCTGCTTGTAAGGGTTCCATTTGATGTGGTTTATTCGCCGCTGCTTTTGGACTCCTAACGACGGGTTTGCTTGCGAAGTTATTCGCGATTTTCGTGCGACGGCACTTTGAATACTGTATCTAGGCTTGTCCACCATGTCTTATCCGAGATAAAGCGGACTTGGAGAGGATTTTACAAATGGGTACTAGGTTAGTGCAGGGTGTGCGGGGATAGGCCTATCCAGAACGCTTGCTTAGTTTAGGGATGTACTCAATGCACTACCGGAGGATTAGGGTGAACTTGATTCTCACTTACAGGATTCTGACAGGAATGATCGGCCTGGACTTAGTCCCGCTAAGTTACCTAGTCTCCGCGGTCATCCGTAGGAGCTGCAAAAACCCTGCTCTGATCGAACTGGGGCCGATACTCGTTTATCACACCGAGCTATCGGGCTTTGGAACTCGCTTCCAGGTCAAGTGGTTAGGGAACCTACGGTTAATGGTTTGCGCGTCGCCTCAATGCTTTTGGTTAGCAACATGAATTCTTTCCTTTCTCCAAACCGAATCATCCGCCTTTCGGCTTTCATTTCTCTTTCTTCATTTTGGTAGTTTTTCACATATATGATTGTAATCAGTTGGTTGTGTTTCTATACTTGTCCTCTGATTTTACACTTTCTTCTTCACGTAACCGACCCAGCAGGTCGTGCTTGGGCAAGATACGTAGGCAACTATTCGTTGGTCAGAATGTGGTGCGATTTTTGTTTTAAGCCTATCCACGTTTCATAGCACACTGTCAACTCTTGGTTCAATAAGCTATTGAAGAAAGAACAATCACGGGATAATCCTATCTTTCCAGTCCTACTTGAACTTGGACATTATGTGCATCGCTCTTCCGCGCTGACTGACGGGTGGAGTAGCCCCCAAGGCACACCTTACAGTCTGCGCTTGGTGCAACTGCAGCAGCCTGTCAAGGATCACTAGTCAGCACTACTTATTTGTTCCTTTCTTTTGACTGCTATCATGGGAATGACCTCCGTACTTCGCGACGATGGAGCTGGTCTGTACGGTACATTGGAGCGACTTTTCTGGAATTTACGCTCATATGCAAGCAATGCCAACACATTTTTCTGTCCTACAAGCTGATTGATATCTGATTGGCCCATAATTTATCCCTTCTGCTGCGCCAAGATATGAGCCAAGGATTTGGTCCTGATTCCACATTTTTCGTCGGTCCGAAGAATTGATCCAAGTTGACCTATCTCGAGGGATTTCAGGTGGTAGAGGCGGAAACATCTTACCAGAGATATGCTTGAGACCGACTGAGAAGTCATAGTGTCGGAATGTTTAAAATCCAAAACCTGTTTGTATTATTAACCCCCCGAAATTAAAAATATGTTGTCCTTCGACTCATTCATGGATTGTGCTAGATGTTGCATCATCTCAATTATTCGCGAGCTCATTTGACGACTTGTACTGTTCACTACGATCGGCTAGCATTTTTCTGTTCCGCTACATGTTCTCGTGTGGGGCTGCTTATGCATTACTGATGCACTCTGCTGTATATATATATATATATATATATATATATATATATATATATATATATATGTATATATATATATATATATCCTAACTGGTGGCTGTAATAACAAAAGGTGATTTGAGAACCGCTGCGTTTTCGTAACTTTTTCTGATGTTCATTTTTGACTACACGACACGAGTTCATGATTTTATTGAGTCCGAGTAACTCGCTTGGGTCATAGTAAGGGTAGGTTGGACTGTATCTGGAATTTTAAGCGTCGAAATCCTGTTGATCCTACTCCTTTCTCATTTTGTTGCCTAGTTTATGCTGGAAAGACGCAGTTGGCAATGGTGGCTCGAGTGAACCTTATTGTGGTCTTTGTTGGAAATCCATTGTCTACTTCAAATTTAGCGTTGCAGGTCAATAACACGCATCGCGCCGTTTCATTCCGGATTTACCGCATCCTCCACACTAGGCGCAGCATGAAAAGTGCCGCGCTTTTTCCACATGCATATCGTAACGCATTAAGTTAGTTGCACTGTTGGCAACGACTTTTGCGACATCTCTCACCACTTTGTTCCAGATGGAATACGACAGCGGAATTTCAAACGCATCAACCACTACCTGTCATCCGTCTTCGGCTTTACAAGGAATGCTCTGGTGCCTTGGCTTTGGAGGATAAAGAACTGGGCAGAGTGAGTGCCACCATGGTTCTCAATACCTGCTCTTGTGAAACTCCCTGAAACGACTTAGTATCATGTATACTAAGACCCACTGTGCAAATTAAGGCACATATTTGCATGGTTTCATATCACCATTTTGGGGCCATGTGTATAACTGGACGTTCCAGAGGAATTAGATAACCAACTATATATGAATGTATTGTTTTCATGGAGCAACCGTAGCTGATAGAAACTGCAAAATGGCAGTCTTTTTAGTGATTTGCTTTACAGATATTTCCGCAATATATTTACAGCTGTTTTCCATCCGTCACCTTGACTCTCCAGTTTGGAGCCTTACTACTTTGACTGGACTCGTTAGGCTACATCAATTCCGATGATGCCCATTATGTTGTGTGGAATTGTCTCTGTGTTTCTACCTCCTCGCTGGGCCATCTTGATTGTCGCTGAATGATGAATGACACTGACGTTAAGTTTTACTTCGTAGCTAGGCGAGGCTCCTCATCAATTCAACCAAAATTACTGATAGTTGCGCACTTGCTGCCATTACCTTGCGCAGGTTGACTGATACGCTGCGTTCATCTATTTTGGGCTCCTTATTGGAAAAGACGTTTCTCTTCTCATTAGGGAGCAATTTATGCACAAAAATGGTAGACACAATCGGTTTCAATCCATGATAGTCAGCTATCGTCCCCCATGTCTCAGTGGCTTAAGATGCTGGCTATTGACACGAGCCACTAGCGGTTGCGTGTTCGGTTCCCTGAAGCGGACCGATGGACTGTGCACCACTGACGAGTCCCAAGAAGATGAAACCACCGTCTGCTGCCTCTCCGAATTGCTAGTCGGCCTATCTGGCTTGGAATTTGACTGAGATGGACCAAAAAAGTCCACCAAGGTCTTCTGGCCGGTGGCTGAGTGGTCTGCACGTTTGCTTGCAACCATAAGGTCACCGGTTCGAATCCGCGTAGGGGTGGGCGTCCTCGCGGTATACTCAGCTCACGCGCGACTAGTTGTGGTCGCGCGGCAGCGAAGCGCCGTTACGGCGTACAGCTGACACATTATTTATTTATTTTACCAAAGCTTTCTACTCATTGGTAACATAAGCTGTCTGGATGCTTCGGTGACCAGGTGTGGCTTGTGTAGAAACGTAACGGAAAACAAAAGGTTGGGCAATTGAACGTTTCGGCAGCGAAAGATTTATTAGCTGCTCAATCTCACATTTAACAGGCTTGGGGTACCCCGTGGCCGAGGCGGTAGACACTCGATTTGCCGCGTTCATGTGCAGATTAACCATTCACCGTAGTTGTGGGCAATGGACACCTCATTTCACACAAGTAGATCACTGCTGATGTGTTACGCTATTGGCGTGGTCTTGCCATTCACATGCTGCAAATATCAGCTAATCAGTCAGTACTGTTTTATGAACTCCGAAAAGTGAAAGTTTCATCAGGACACATAACTTCAGTGACGCTCACAGAAGGGGGGGCTACTACAAGTAACTAACAGTGCAGAGAGCAGTCTAAAGGTCCATGAACTGGGAGAACGTTACCGAGTAAAACTTTAAGTTAATTTTGAACGCTAACTTATGGTTTCTGGAAATGTGCGATGGATTTCCGAGGACCAATAGACTCTAGGCCCATGTGCAAACACCTTTCCAGCCACAAACTATCTTGTATTGTTCTGTACACAAGGTGTACAGTTTGTCAGATGGCTGAGCAAAGAGGTCAACACAGTCACTGCGTACAACGGATAATGGTCTGACTGAATGTCGTGATTTATCGACGATTGGCTGGATTCGTTTCTCCTGCTATATCGCGCTTTCAACTGGAGTTATGTGTGCAGTCCGTTGAAATAGTAGAATACGAATGGGGAATTAATTGACAGTTAAGGTGACAGAAGTTGCTGCTTAATTCCTCCTCCTTCGCATCAGAACACACAGCATGTTAAGTAACTCCGTGGTTTTAATTCCATCCACATATCACTAGTAAACGGGTGCCTTCCAGTTTCGTGTGGAACTGAACTTAGTTAGGTAGGCGCGGTTCTTCCCTTACATCAATAGAACGGGTGCACTGAAGCACAGTAATTACGGTTGCACCTTAATTTTCCTGAGTCAACCAAACGCTTACGATATGGGAAGTGAGATGAGGTGATGAGTAGATTTATCGACTGAACAATGCATTGTGGAGTTGTCGATTGATGATAGCCGCGAACTATTCGTACAGATCGTCTACTTTAGTCTTAAAGAAACTGGGTGAAATGCCGATGATAGGTAGTAAACCGGGGTTATTTCAACGTATACTTCGGGATTAAATGACAAAGTTGTGAAGAGTTGATGAGTTAAGACCAAAATAAATGAGATAACGCCACCACCACGATAGGAAGCTGACCAGTCGACCGTTACAACTGCGTCTTCAAAGCTCTTATGGGAGTCGCGTTTGACACAGTATAATGACAGCTAGTTGCGGCTAGTCGCGGTAACTGCTCATAATTTTCATTCCGTAATGAAAACAGGTATGCTCGTATCTCCTAGTGCCAATCTCTGATGAGCGAATTTCCATCCAATGTGTGTTGGCAGTTTTATCACACATCTTGTGGATTCTGTTCAATTTGATTCCTACTGAATAACCAGAGGAAAATGAGCAGGTCATTTAGGTGGGAACGGATAACAATTTCCACACACCAATTGTGTAGTATAGCGTGAGAGTCTTTGTGGAATGAACAGATGGAGCGTATAAGGCAGATGGCTGCATAAGTATTGTCCATACCGTATTCAGATTTTCGTGGAAAGGTCCCACAACTGCCAGTACACAGTGAAGCATCAGACAAACATAATCACTGAGTTCATGAACACTGACCAACTAAATGGCTGGGCTTGGAATACCCGTCGGACACGTTATAAAAGCACTCCATCATGTATAATTGCCATGCTAGCTTTGGCCAACTTCGAGTGATAGCATCCACACCGCATTGTATCATCACAGGATGGCTCTGTAGCCCTTGACTTTGGCCCATTAAACTACCACTGCGGTAGCGCTCGCCATTGAGCCCAAAAGGCCACGCTATGATCCATTAGGGGTGGCAAAGAAGTCAAAATTAGACGAGTGGACGCCGCGTGTAGCGTATGGAAAAAAAGCAGCCGCAGATTTAATTAAGCCCAGCTGGGATGACACTATTTTACCCTCCCGGAACTATGCCTAGACAGCTGCCACAAAGCGCACACCAACGCAGGGTATTCAGAATGAGACAAGTCTCTCAGAAGACTATTAGGGATTAGGGTGGAGTTCATTCCCGTTGTGGGTTGGAGACAGTTTTGACATGACATGGATACCAGAATTCGGTGCGCTACTTCCTGACCTAAAACTCTCGATTAAAAGCGAACACTTTTCCCAACGCAGATGAGTGTTGGGTCTTACAGACTGGTTTCGTGCTCGTGTGTAACCTTCGGGACTGGGACACGAACTCCTGAAATTGGGGCTACCATCCGAAGCCTTTACTCCTAAGCCACTGGGCGCAACGTTTGTCACAACGGCTAGTGACCAAATGCAATCGCACGTCCCAATCCATTCAAACAATCAGCGCTTCAAAATGGTCCCGAAATTACTCTTTCTTACTTCTCTTCCGCTGATTTATTCTCTAACTGGCTGCCTACTTCCATTTCATCATCGTCCCCAGTGTTGGCAATTATGGTTTTCATGAGGATGCGGTTCACTGCGTCTATGTTGACCTTTAGCTAGGCCTACCTAACACGCAGACCCGTTATCAGTATGCCAGTTAACTGGCAGTTAACTGGTATGAACCGCCTTGGACTCCGCAGTGAAACGGAGCACTCTCATCCACTAGTCTCCGGTGTATGGACGTGCCGAAATTCCCCTACACTGTCGGACTCAAAGGCATACTCTCAGTTGGTGACCGTTCGGGACGTAGCATTTTGCATTCTCCAATGCGTATTGATCCGCGTTAACAAACGGGTTTCATTTCAATAGTTCAATAGTGTATGATGGGATAAAAAAGCATAACTTTACAAGACCCACGGGATGGATATGTCCAAGAAAATTAAAAGCAAAATGTTCCAACGTGGAACGTAAAGTATCAGTGGTTAAATCATTACACTTAGCAAACTGTTGTGTAGCGTTTATCACTAAGATAAAAGTCTAAGAGTCTTCCGAATGGCGTCATGTCTGGTGCGTTCACCATATATCTTGGTAATGCATTCCAGTTAGAACAGATTCGAAGTGAGTAAAATTACTTTCTACAATGCAGACGGGAGCATTGCGTCATTAGTTTAAGGCGGTTGCCTCGCCTTTGTTTGTAAGGGGCTAGGGTCAACAGTGAAGTACATGGATGTTCGCTTTCAGTTAGTAGCCAGTATGTGAGAGGAAGATCTCCACGAAGCCGTCTGTATTCTGATAAGAACACACTGAATACACAAAGACGCAGTTCGTAAGTTAAACCGGATAGTCCACGCGTTACCCTTGTGGCTCTTCTTTGGGGTTGTTCCAATAGACGAATGTCTCATTATAACCATGGACCCTAGGCTTGAATTGCATATTCAACGTGAAAGCGATTATAGTAATTAATCAACATTGGTACTAGCCGTCGCTCAAAGGTGCCGAGAGCTCGCCTCAAAAGTCTCAAGTTCAAGTTCGCCACACTTGCTGCTTTCAAACATTGGAACGTATCGCCAAGACTGTCTTGCACGATTATACCTAAGTCGTGTTCACTGGCCATGTGGTGCAGGACTTGTTGCCCCAAAAGCTATGTGTTGACGAATCTGCTGTGCACCGTCAGCAGGTGGCACTTTGCAGGGTTCAGTGGGAGCTGGTTCCTTTCTGCCCATTCGTTAATCCGATTCAGATCGTTCTGGAGATAGGCACTATCGGATTCTGAGCGAATTGCTCTCCATATTTTAGCACCGTCTGCAAGTATTTGCATCGGAGATAGAATGTCTGCTGGAAAGTCATTCATGTAGACTAAAAACAGTAGCGGGCGGAAGAAGGATCCTTGTGATACGTCACTGGAGACGCACAGGCTTGCAGATTGTGTGCCGGCTACTCTTACCCTGATTGCTCTGTCGTGTAAGTAGTCTTCTAACCAGGTGAACAGGGAACCGTTGATAGCGTAGGAAGCAAGGATTTGGAAGAGAAATAAGTGATTGGCCCTGTCGAATGCTTTAGAAAAATTCAAGTAAATCACATCTATGGGGACTGCTTCAGCAGCCGCACTGGTCCATGAGTCCCGAGTAAGCAGCAAATTGGTGAGGCAAGATGGTCTGCATCTGAAACCATGTTGGGCATTAGAAATTATTTGTAGACTTTCAATGTATCACGTCAGTTTATCTGCGATTACCGATTCCATCACTTTTGATAAAACAGGAAGGAGAGTAATAGGTCGGTAGTTGGCAGGATCCGATCTCTTACCTTCTTTGTATATTGCAGTGATAATTCCATTTTTCTACTTAGATGGGGGTGTATGGGAGTTAAGTAGACCCTGGAAGAAGGTTGCAAGTGGTGCTGCTAAGGTGGGAGCAAGGGTTTGCAGTACTTTTGGGCAGATCATGTCGATTCCAGGGGCACTGTACTCCCGGAGAGACTGTAATTTGTTTGCAACAGCTGCTTTAGTAAAGATGACGCTGGATAAGCCAAGGACATTTAAATCCCCTACCGTTCACACCTTCAAAACTTCTACACCGAAAATTTCGGAAGCGTTTAAAATACAAATCTTTTGTTTATAGGCCTTTAAACCGCCGATTTGTGTTTTAATACCCACTGAAATTATGAATGCCCAATCGGTTCCAAGTTTATTAAAAGATATTTCATCTACCCGAAAAGTTGATATATTACTGTTTCTCCCATTCATCCGGATAACCAGCCTTTTGTGGTGGTTATTTTCCTGTCTATGTCATTTCACTTTGCTACCATAGCAGTCGGCAAACTGTAATGATCTCGCGACTGACATAAACACTTAAGGCGTTTCATTTCGAGGCTGATTTTTTTTGCATACTATTCACCTCACACCTGTGCCTTGCTTTGGTGCATTTCGCAGCTGACACTCCATCCATCCTGGCTCACTACGCGTGCCCCCACATGGTTCCGATTGCAAGCCAACAAGCATTGCCACGATACACTGGAGGTGCAACTCACTGTCAGCATGCAGCGACCGGCCAATTGTAGATATGCTAATTATTGCTGGATACAGGGGCGAACCGCGTTCAAAAAGTGGAAGAGAAGATATCTTTGCCTCATACAAGTAATCAAACATGCACATTATGATGTTATTCTATTTCCTAGCCCCATAAGCCGGGGGTGCAATCCGATTAACCGTTGGGCACCGTGGTTGGGCTCGTGACTTTGTTTACTTTGACCCTGTTCTTGGACTGTAGTGACCTTTAGCACTATTTCAAGAGCATAAACAATGTAGGTGCATTGCGCATCTTCTGATGAGACCACATTGGCCAATTTTGCTCCAACTTGTCACTAACGAAAGCCTGTCTAGTGGGCATCTGAAGGAAGCTGTCCCACACTTCTTAGGAGGACAATAAGCTGACTACATCCTCACCCTAACACTCAGCAGCTAACTTAGTTAACCCCTTCAAAAAGACTGTTTAGCGAAGGGGCTAGGAGGTGTAGGAACCGAACACTTGTAGACGCGAATTGGTCAGCAAGTATCACAATGAGCACACTCTCAGAGGTCTCTTTCACCTGACTATGACTCACCGTGCCTTCACACAGATGTAAAGAAAACGGAAGGAATTTGGCGAGGTGCAGCACGAAATTTACTATGCCCATAGATGTTTTCTGTCAACTCAAAATCTGCCGAAGATAGGTTTGTGCCCTAGAGGCCATCTAATGTAGAAACAGGGAAAATACTTTCCCCTAAGTAATTGTTTTCGACTAACATCAAACACCTATTCCGTAACTAATGCCCAAACGAGGTCATGTGAGCATATCTGTACCTGAGAATACTCGTTACCCGGCGTGTGGATGAGTTGTGCTTCGAGTTGCGTGGTTTGTTTGCACAAATTTCGGCACCAGCCCAGATACTATGGTGCAACTCCCAAGGAAACAATTTGCCATAACTCCTAACGCGATGAAAGTTCGCATCTCGGCTTCCTTATTCTTCATTGTCCCATTGTGAGGAGTGGTTCAACCGACCGACCGATCACTTCCTTTTCCATTTTGATTCATGCTGGGTTGCTGATCCGTTTGCAGTTCTTTGTAAGAGCGCTTGGCGTCGATGTACTCGTCAACTTCTTATTCGCCTCATTATCTTGAGGATGTCCATGTCCCGTGCAATGAAGTCAGAGGTTTCTGGACATATCAACGGATGGCCAGCCTATGTACGAGTAGCAGTGTGCCTGATTTCCACTCTTTTTGGCGCAATCAACACCTGTTACAAGTTGCGCAGCCTCTAAGTCCAATCCGTTTTTAATCTTGACGCGAAACCAACCATTTATTTCTTGTTATGTTTGCCTTTCAGTGTTTCGGGTGTGAAAGCGCATGACGTTTACCACCTGATTACATTCACTGATCTATCGATTGGCTCGTTGACCTTCCGTTGCACTGTGAGCTAACCATTTACTTCTACAGCTTTAGATAGCTTTTCGTGTTGCATCAAGTTTTCCCATAATTGTAAATGCCTGAGGAGAAGTATCGACAAGAGATCTCTTCGCAGCAACTCATCTTAATCTTGAGAAGCTTGTGTCAAACGGTTTCTGTCGGGCTGCGATTGACGTTCATCCTGATGGGTGATAACGTGTTTACATCATCTCAGAAACTCCATTCATGAAGTATATGTATATATATATATATATATATATATATATATATATATATATATATATATATATTCAGCGCAAAATATGCAGTGCCTGATGAGTCTCATATCATTTTTACTTACCATGAACACCAGATGGTAGCTTGGGTCCGGCTATCAGTACATAGTGTAGAAGTCCTTTCCCAGACAAGCATGGATTGGTGGCCAGTTGGTCTGCAAGACAGCTTACTGCGTTGGGCTGCTTCTTCATACGGGAAATCCATTCTGTACTTGCTGTCATCTCCAAACAGCTGGAGATGGACCCGTTACCCTAAGGCACATGTTCGGGTGAGCAGCTACGACACAGATCTGTCTCATTATTCCTTAAATGACTGATGATGATACTCCTGATCTACCGTGTTTAACTCCCATTAACTGCGCTTACCGAAATGTACGAATTCGTCAGTCACACGCGTTCACCACTCCTCGGATTTCCACTCCAGTGGGAAGCTTATGTCCACTTAGGTTGACGGTAGTGCTCAGACGGGATCTGGTACCATTCCTCAACTCTGTCCGATGGAGATAATCCATACCGTTCGAGCGTTAATATTGAAACCGTTTTATTACGTTTTACATCCGTAATCTTTTCCAAACATCAGGTTTCTCAATACACTTTCGTTATCGCGGCATACGCGGAGCAAAAGTCTCATCCTTCTGAGTTTATGGCGCTCGATGGCTTCACTGTGGACTACTGCGAGAACCGCCCAGGTGAGAACAATTTGTTTGATTTTTCATCAGGGCTCTAAACACTTGCTACTCTGACTTAGACCATTCGTTGCACATTATGGTGGTGAGGTTTCCGATGGCGAATCTCCCGCTTTATTACCCTATACCTTCCATCCGCAAATTTCAGATCTGGTTTTCGCCTCATCCTCCGTCCGTAGCAAACCTGAGCACCACATGTCTGCCACATCACTCACATCGCTGTCAAAATTGCGGTTTGGTGGATTCGGCAGGCTTGTGCATCAGCATCGTGCCGAAAGTGCGGCCACCATGTGCGGCCCTGAGCCTGAACTCAAGGCTACCTACTTTCTCAAACTTGTTCGTGAGGGCGACACTGTGATTATGGCCACTTCCACCGATGCGGATCGGCAAAGCTGGATACAGACAATATACCGGGCAACTGGACAGACTCACAAACCTGCCATTCCCAATCATTTGACTATTGGAACCCCGACCAGGTTGTTCACCGGAGGTAGGTTGACTGATGTAGGTGAATTCCTATTTTCTGTCAGTCATAAAGACGGTGGGAGTACCCACCGTGAGGTTGCATAGCGATACACAGTCTCAGTTTGGACTACGGTCTACCTTGTAAACTCGGTTCATTACGAGCATTGGAACCGCGTCTGAAGTGGAGGATTTCTTTGTTGTTTGATTCGAACGCTGCTTTCCACGAACAGTTTTTATCCTTGTTTGAGCCGTTTAACTAGAGGTAGTTGTAGCTGGAAGTGAAGCCCAGGACGAGCACGGGCTGGATACACTTTCAAACCACTTTGAATTCCTAACCGCTATGCAAGCGTTACTGGTGGATCTCAGAGATCTAGTGATCAAAATGTCCGCCGTCAGTCCCTGACCCGCGGTTCCACTCACAGTAAAAGGTCCCTAGATAAGGGAAAAACTGTTATAGAATGCAGGATCGAAGGTGAGCAACACATAGAATCATCGTTGCTTTCTAACCAGTCTGAGTCAATCTAAAACGAGTCCTTTCATCTCAGTAATGATCTGACCATGCCGTCAATATTGCTTGCTAACCCAATGGAAACCGCTGGCTTGCATAAGCGAATAAATAATGAATAAAAAACGGTGCAGTCAACTGAGGCATATGGATGGATGTACCTCCCTGCTACCCACTCTTCACATATGTTAGTATAGCGCATCCGAAATCGCATCAGTACCCATATGAACAACGATAGTGCGAATCGATCAATACTGATCGCCTCTGCTCGCAGTGTACATTTTGAGCGATAATCACCACTTTACTCTGGGCCTCGATGACGCATACACTGATGCACGAATCGGAGACCGTAGCATTGGAAATACTGATCAACTGGAAAGTTTGGATATTCAACATATGACGATGTACACGGAGTCCAACAAACCAATCAGAAACAAGCAAATTTTTATGAAGCAGTATGTATGTATGTATTCTCAACCGTCTATTATCTAGACACAGAGCCAGCCTAAAACCATGGAGATAAGGAGATAAGCAAGATTCATGGCGTCATAATCATCGTGGCATGCTAGTTGAAGGTGAGCAACACACTTCAACTAATATGCCGCAGAAAGAATGGAACATTTTGATAAAAAGTAGAACAAAACATTTTTAGTTTGTTTTCACACGCCGGTTTTTCTCTTTGTTTGTCAGTTGCAATTATTGAAATATTAAACATGTGAATCAATACAATACTGTACACAATTCTTCCATTGATTCGGGTTGCGGGCCATATCTTCAAGAGTGCTAAGCCATTGGCACTCCTCATCTTTGGGTCCCCATCCTGGAAGACGTACGGATCCAACTGCGGCTAGATACGACGTCAGCGATTTCATGTGCTGCTGCCAAGTGGAAGGCTGACCACCACGCGGTCGCCTCCAGCCAGGTCGTTGATGAGCGAATAGAGCGCGACGCGGTAGACGCTCAGGTGCCATGCATAGGAGGCGACCGAGCCATCTCAACTGGCGCAACAAAACCAATTTGTTGAAGGGAATACTCGCATTCCCCAAGATGCGACGTCGAACGTCATTATTATTAACTCGATGTTGCCACCAAACACGCGCGATCCTCCTTAAACAACCGTTATCGAAGGCAGAAAGACGACGCATGTCTTCCACGCGAAGCGGCCAGGACTCGCACCCATACAACAATATTGAGCGAACTGATGCGATGTAAACGCGGCCCTTTAGTGAGAATGAGACGTCGCGACGACGTCACAAGTGCCTCAAATTGACAAATGCCGATCGAGCTTTAGCGATGCGAAGAGAAACTTCTTCGTTGATAGTGCCGTCAGCAGAAACACAGCTCCAAAGGTAGACGAAACTATCTACCTGTTCAAGTTGTGCACCTTCGAGAGTGAGTACGGGAGCAGGTGAAGCAGAGCAACACAGGGCACGAGTGTGAAAATACATTACGATGAATGCTTGATAGTAGCTAAGACTTTGTTAGAGACGCTGACTTCGTAACAGTTGCTTGGGGTTTTGCGACTCTAGCCATTACAAGACAGTCGGAGTTGCGACTGAAAGGTCCCGATGCACGTCTGTGGCCTGTATGAGTGGGTACACCTGTGACCAAGGCCAATCACGTCTCAATAGTCAGTTGTCGTCCGGTTTATAGCGCTGGTGGTGAACAACTGAGCAACAGTCGTGCCCTCCCCTAATGTTGATGTCTCATGGCATTCGTGCTGTCTAACAATCCAGCCGTGAATCCAATTGCTGATCAGTTTTTGCCCGTGACTAAGATATGAGGAACTAGGGCAAGGATCACTACTCACCCTACTGCGAAAAGGATGTTGAGGCGTGTTTTGCTGAAGTTTACCCATTAACAAGTGCCCCACAGTGTATCTTTGTGGAGTTTAGAGGCGCTCAAGTGGTCGCACCACATTGTAGTCCCGTCTCAACGCGAGTCCATGCACCATACTGCTCCTGGATAAATATCCAACAATACAACTCACCATCGACCATTCAAGCTTGACCTAGCTCAGCGGTGTCCAAAGTTTTCGCAAAGAGGGCCACATTTTGTGAGGTAAAAATATGTCGGGCCATATTCAGTCTGACATTAAAATAATAGCAAAAAGTATACGTCATAAATTTTTTATTACAACTTGCTAATGTGAAGAATGAAACTGTTCTTTATTTGCTTTGCTTTTGTTAAGACCCCTTTAGTAGTGGCACTAGACTGACTTTTGTAAGTAATAGGGGGATTCATTGGGTATGTTGTGATGATTCGTCGCAACTGCCTGAGTCTAACTGCGCCGATTCTTCACAAAATACCCAATAAATCCCTCTACTACTTATAAATAAGCAGTAGTCGCCATAGCAGTTTACATGCCACCTCTATTGGTGGCTGCCTGCATAGGTAGTCGTGGCTCTAGAGGCCAGCCCTGTCCTCTACACACTCACAACATACATGATAATGGAGGATGAGCGGCGCTATATCGCAGTTAGATATCAGCCATGGCGTTCCGCTGCCTTCGCCCATGGCTCAGTCGCATGAGTCGCTGGCTCACAAGAGTAAGGTCGCCGGTTCCTGTCCAGCAGGATTCGGCGGGTGCGCGCTACTGACGCGTCACAATCGGGCGAAACTGTCGTCTAGCGCTTTCCTGGATGTATGTTGGCTGTCTGCCCGAAGCTAACTGCGACGAATATTCACAAAATAGGCCGACGATTCCTAGGTAATTATAAATAAACAACAAAAATTGCTTTTCGCCAGCATCTGGCGTCATTGCTTTTTGTACGCATCACATCCTTACCTTTCTGTAATCTATATAAAATCGTTTGTACGAACGGAATCCAAGCTTGAATTCGTTATTTCCTAATGAGGTCGCAGGCCATTTGAAATGTTAACGCGTCCCGCATTTGGCCTGCGGGCCAGGACTTTGGACATCCCTGACTTAGATGTAACAAGGGAGTGTACTCTTATATCTTCCACGGTCACCGTCACAGACGACTCACGTCTCGCAACCGATGGCAGCTACAGCCAAACTCCCGGTTTTCAATGTCCTGCGATCGCAACCGCCTCTCACTCCACCGAAGCTCCAGCTCTTCTTCGACCTGGTTCTCCATTCATCCTCGCAGCGTTTAATGTTCGAACTTTGATGCAGATCGGACGACAAGCATGTCTAACCCGTACTCTTGAAACGCTTTCGGTAGACATCTGTTGCCTTTCAGAGGCCAGATTACAAGACTCTAGCACCGTCATCAGAATGGCGTCTCCGGTAAACGCTGACACCAAATACCACTTGCGGCTTTCCGGAGACCCAGAAGCTGCCGCCACTGGCCAGGCTGGTGTTGGGGTTGCACTGAGTGCCAGGGATGAATCAGCTCTGCTTGACTGGATCCCAATCAATAGTCGGCTATGTGCAGTCAGATTAAGAGGTTCATGTAACGTAAGCAGGCGTCGAGACGTTAAGCGTGCCTACGCCCCTACAGACTGCAGCCGGATGCAGTTAAAGATAGCTTTTACCAGAAGCTACATGAACTACTGCGTTCCTCCAAAACGATCGATATAGTCATTCTTGCCGGGGACTTTAACGTACGGGTTGGCCGCCTTCCACCAAGCGAGCACCATCTTGGGGGCAGTTTTGGTCTCGGTGGCAGTCGATCAGACAATGGAGACAGACTGCTTGTTCTTTGCTCTGATCATCACTTGTATCTTTCGAGCACTAGTTTTCGGCACTCGAGGAGACAGACTGCTACCTGGCGCCGGCCCTCACAAACGCAAGAGTGCTCCCAGCTTGACCACATAGCAATCAGCTACAGATGGCGCGGAAGCGGAACGGACTGTCGATCGTACTGGTCAACTTATCTAGACTCCGATCACGCATTGGTTCGTGCTAAGATTTGCATGTGTTTCGGAGGATCACCTAAGCGCGCTCACTACCGACCGGACGTCACAAATCTACAAAACACTGCGATTTTAACCAGGCACCAAGCCTCACTGTCAACCTTGCTTGGCTCAACTATTGCCGGTGCTCTCGATTCGCAGTGGGCGCAGCTCAAAGATGCTTTAGTTTCCGCCAGTATCGACACTTGTGGAGTTGCCCGTCATCCACCGAAGCATTGGATTTCCGCCGTTTCCTTGTCGCTGATGGACAAACGCCGCCTGATCCTGTGGGATTCCAAACACAGTGAAGAGCGCCAATCCCTTAGTCGAGAGTTGCGCAGGAGTCTGCAAATGGACAGCGAAGCTTGGTGGTGTGAACGTGCTAGTGAGATGGAGCTTGCTAGTCTCTCTGGTAATACCAGGAAACGTTTTCATCTCATTCGAGTCACCGATGGTATTCGATCTGGTAAAGTGAAACAATATGCGAAGAAGATGGCACCTTAAGCACCAATCTTCAACGACGGTTGGAGCGATAGGCCGAACATTTTGGCTCGCAATTTTGTTAGCCCCCAGCTCCATCTGCTACCTCTGGCGCTCGCGCTGGGTCCGAGTGATCTACCCCCACAGATCCTCCCTTTTGCCAGGAACTCGAGCAGGAA